GTGACTAAGTGGCTACTAAAAAAGACTGAACATACCCCATTTGCAATACCTTGGGTTATCTTCTTTTGCAGATGGTATGCCATCATGGGGATAATTCTTATTCCTGGGCTACCATACGCTCTCAAAGGCAACATAACCAATCTGTTTTTCAAAAACACTATAAAACCTGTACATGGGGGGTACTGTTATAATCGGGAGACTTCAATGAACACAAATATTAGTGTTTCAAAACAGTAAAACGTATTACAACAATGATATCATCAGTGAAACTGCTGTTTGTGTGTGAAAAATGCAAAAAATATCACTTGCACTGACAATACTATCTCTATTTTGAAACACTAATATTTTTGTTCAGCGAAGTCTACCTAGTAAAATAGTACCCCCTGTGGCAAAACCGACCTCACCACTGGACATTGGAGAAGACGGATTGCAAGCCTCCTGCCATGTGACTATGGCCCCTAGGATGTATTGCCCTTTAAAGACATGATTTGGGCATATTGGATTTGTATGGTGCTGCTAGCCCTTTAAGAACCATTTTGGGGCATGGCGAAAATTTGGGACAATGCCCCTTTTAAATCTGTGTCCACAGACCTAATTGGGACAAGGCCCCTTTAAAACTGTGTCCCCAGTATCCCCAGACTTGTTTGGGACACTGCCCCTTTACGATGGTGTCCCCAAAGTACCCAGACTTTGGAAATAACTTTTAAATGGCTTTTTCTCTTATGGTTCGGTAATTGGGGCTTACCGAGCCATTCACTGCACAGGCGGACCACCCAGAGCTGGAAGTGTGCAGGCAATTTGCCTCCCAGGCTGGGAGCCTGCTGTAGGTAAATTACTGAACGCTGGGGGGCCACCGTTCGCGCAAACGAACACGTGGCGGCAGCCATCTTTTTTTATTCAATGCGGTCAGTGGTGTGTGTAGCCAAATTCATGGAACTGAAATTGGCTACACAGTTCTGCGAACACCGCTGAGCCTTACTTTCTCCCACAATGATTTTGCAGCCGCAGAGACTAAGTCCCATTCGGCGATGGGACTTAGTCATTTTTTCAGCCTGAAATAGACCGACCGCACAGCCCAAATATATGGAACTGTTTTGGGCATGAAAATGTGCTTGCGGTCGGTCAAAAAGGGACCTCCAGCTAACTTTAACCCCTGGATGGAATTGGCTGAATTTTGGATATGTTTATAATTAAAGTGTGATGGATGAGTTTGAATATGTTATGTTTGTGGCATGTATATTTTTGAAGTTATTAATATTTTGTAAAAACTGTATTTCTCTGCCTGTGATAATAATATTCCTGTCTTGTTCCTGTCCTGCTCTCTGAGGGAGTCCACGGTGGTTATGGTGTCTGCTGGAGTGCTTAGAGCCCTCAGGAAGCGCTAGGAGCATCCTTCAACTGAGGTACCCAGTCGGGGTGCCCGTCGATCCGTTACACCCGCCATGTACAGATTTTAGGATGTCTTGGAAAGTTACAGGGTTAAATATAGTGCTTACAAATTAAATTCTCTGGACTTTCGGCCTGGGTTGTCAGGCACGTCCCCCAAATTGCAATCAATAAAATTACTTTATTATGTAAAAATATTACATAAATATGCACTTAGAATTTAAATACATATATATATATTTATATATTTATGAAAGTATTTATGTAATTATGTATATGGACATATGTATATTTCTTATTATTTTTATTGATTTATATATACATAGGTATATATATATATATATATATATAATTTAATTGTAAGTGTATTTTGATATAAATATATATATATATTAATATCAAAATACAGTTAGAATAAAATTACATATATATAATTTTTTTTAATTTAACTTATTTTTAATTTTTTTTGGTTATTTTTGTATTAATTATTTACAATATATATATATATATATAGTTATTATATATATTATATATATACGTGTGTAATTTTACTCTAAGTGTATTTTTATATTACTATAATCCCTTGTGTCTCGCACTCAATAGCTCCCCATCTTGTCAGTGCCTCAGTGAAACCTCCGGCCTATTGTATAGAATTCCTTGATGGAGAGCACTCACAGGACTCGTAATAGTGAAGAAGATGCTTTTATTCCAGCAATCAATTCATACATCAAACTTGTCAGTGTCGATGTTTCAGTCCAACCGGACTTTTTTCAAGACAAACAATAAGTGATACCATGGCAGTTTAAATACAGGAAAACATGGTGCTCATGGGTGCTAACTTTGAACTAATTCAGGTTTGAGAAGAGTTACTACATACGGAAAACAGGAATGTCAATGGGGTCACCTATGGCTTCCATGTATAGTAATGTCTTTATGTACACATTTGAACAAAGGCACATCTTGGAACAATATGGTACAAATGTATTGAAATACGTTTGTTTCATCAACAATATTTTTTTTCATTTGGCAAGGGGGAGAACAACTGCTTAACGCTATGATGTGCTCATTAAACTCCATGAATTCCCCGGTTACGTTTACCTACCAAATCAGCAACTCTCAGATAGACTTTTTGGATCTGCAGATCTTTATCAAAGATAACAAACTTGGATATACGTTATACTCGAAACCTGTAGACAGGAACACAATCCTTCACGCTACCAGTTTTCACCCTAAGGAATTAAAAGAATCTTTACCAATATCTCAATTCATGAGAGTGAGAGTAATGCCAAAAAAACAAATTGAAGAGATCTACCAAAAATTTATTGAGAGGGGATATTCCAAGCCCATCTTGAATAGGGCTGTATAACAGGCATATAAATCAATCACTGAACCATCCACATGCTCTGGAATAGGCAATCCATTGTTCTTCCCTCAAGCACTACACACTGAATCACAACAAGTGGCGTCTATCATACGTGAGAACTGGGGTGTACTTAGGAAAGATACATCGCTGCCATCCTTTCTCCAACAAAGTCCTATTATGAGCTATGTGAGAGGGAAGAATTTACGCAACTATCTGGTACATTCAGGTCAATATGCACTATCACAGCTATTATCCCCTACTAGCAACTTGGGATGCTATAGATGCCTCAAATGCACAGCCTTCAATTCTATGACTCCTGGGAAAGAATTCTTTCACCCTTGATCTGGGAAGGAATACAAAATTAGATACAGGATTACCAGTACCACCATGCATGTAGTGTATCACATTATGTGTCCATGTGGACTTGCCTATATAGGCAAAACTTCAAATGACTTAAGGGGCACAGGTATGAAGGAGCACAGGTCAGCTATACACCTAGCTCTCCTCAATAACTCAGCCTGTTGCTCGACATATCTTAGAAGCAGGACACTCGCTACCCTCTTTACGCTTAATGGGAATAGATCATGTACCTACACCTACACAAGGTGGCAATAGAGATACTAAACTACCCTCTTTACGCTTAATGGGAATAGATCATGTACCTACACCAACACGAGGTGGCAATGGAGATACTAGACTATTACAAAGAAAGGCATTTTGGATACATACCTTGGACACTTTATCCCTGCATGGACTTAAAGGACCACTATAGTGCCAGGAAAACATACTCGTTTTCCTGGCACTATAGTGCCCTGAGGGTGCCCCCACTCTCAGGGTCCCCCTCCCGCTCGGCTCTGGAAGGGGGAAAGGGGTTAAAACTTACCTTTTTCCAGCGCTGGGCGGGGAGCTCTCCTCCTGCTCTCCTCCTCCGATCCTCCCCGTCGGCTGAATGCGCACGCGCGGCAAGAGCTGCACGCGCATTCAGCCGGTCGCATAGGAAAGCATTCATAATGCTTTCCTAAGGATGCTTGCGTGCTCTCACTGTGATTTTCACAGTGAGAAGCACGCGAGCGCCTCTAGCGGCTGTCAATGAGACAGCCGCTAGAGGCTTTGGGGGAAGGCTTAACCCATTGATAAACATAGCAGTTTCTCTGAAACTGCTATGTTTATAAAACAATGGGTTAACCCTAGAAGGACCTGGCACCCAGACCACTTCATTAAGCTGAAGTGGTCTAGGTGCCTAGAGTGGTCCTTTAACGAGAAGAACCCGTTATATTGTGTTCTTCCAAGAAGGTAACTCATGAGTGCTACATTTGTTTCATTTGTTTTGTATATACTTCCTTACGATCTATATTGTTAGTAAGTATTATTCTGAGTAGATAATCCCCCAGGAGTGTCTCCTTGATAATATTAGATATTTGTATATAACTACTTATCGTGCTTATCCTACTATGATATTTCTTTAATTACTAGTATGTTTAGAACCTCACTATCCATGGGGATGAGAATTTGATAGTAGACGTAATTTGCATGGTATCCTTTGGAAGTTCATTTATTCAAATTGTGTGAAGCATATCAGGTTTCCTATACAGGAGGGAAGCATTGAAAGGATTCTGTTAAAACGAGAGAGACTCGATTGTTTCAAAACCAGGTTGTGGAGAAACACTTCAAACAACTAGACAAATAACAATTTAAAAGACAGAATGGATGAGTATTACAATCAAGATGTGGTAATTTGTCAATCTGTTTTATCTTTCATTGGAATATTGGACAATATCTACATCATAGCATCATGTTTAAAAGAACTGGCCAAAGTGAGAAGCCTGTCACCAGGAGACAAGTTGATAATTAGCCTCAGTTCTACCAATCTCCTTCTTCAGATCTATATGATGGCTGAAATATTGTGCTGTTATTTCTTGAAAACTGATTTCTATTTAAGCTGTATTCAAAAAACAATCACATTTTTTAATTCGTTAATACTGTCCTCCAGCTTGTGGTGCAGTACATGGTACTCGGTCTATTGCAGCATGAAGATCACAAACCTTCAACACAGAGCCACCCAGTGGCTGCGTCAGAAAATGGCAAAAAACGTGACTATGATTCTTATTGGGTCAATGCTTCTATCAGTGCTACCAAGTATCTTGGTTACAACCGATATACACTTTCTTGAGAAAATACAGAGCAAAGATAACGTGACCTTCAAAGTAATAACTTTCAGTTTTTCTTCATATTGTGGCATTAGTCTATATCTTGCAATTTCCTTTATAGCGTTTGCCATTTTTTTCATTGCAACAATCTCCATCCTCTACTCCCTCTGGAAACACGTAAGAAATATGGAAAGAAAAAGAGAGAAAAATGCCAATATTTTCAGGAATCCGCAACTTGATAAGTTATTCACTGCAGCTAGAACAGTAACTTTACTCCTAATACTATGCACTATCTTCTATGTATCTCAGTCTATGCTATTGACAGATTTAATAGTTGGAAAAATTCCCTCTAACATTTGGGTGGTGTTTATCATCATATTTCCATCACTGAATGGCGCAGTCTTAATAATAGGAAATCAAAAACTAAAGCAGCCTATGTTTGACTTATTCAAACAGATTTTTTAAGAAAGATAATACTCGAGAATTTGAGTTACTTGTGTCTTTTAATCATGATTATTTTAGGTATTCAGTTATTTAATAATTTTAGATATTACTTTAGTATATATGTAAGAATAAGAGAAATGTTCTATTTTCTTACCCTTGTAGATGAAAGTTATAGGATTTTGGTATAGAAACAAGAGCATACTATTTATTCTAATATAGAAACTATGCTTCACAGTACTGCTTTCTACATTTGCAAGCCTTTAGTAATAATTTGTTTAATGTAAACATATGAAAATTAAATTACTCTGAAATAATCATCTCAACTTTTTTTATTTACAAAATGAAGCTTTACTCATATTAAAAGAAAGCGTAAATTTTTACTATGATTTTGCATTGATGGGGACATTTGTGTGAGCTGGTTTTTAAACTTTGACTTTCAATCTTCCAATTAAAAAAATGGAAGTTGAGAACATTCTATATAGAAGTGTCTGTTTGGCACTACAGGGGGCATGGATGATTCTACACTTACTTCTCTACACCTTAATATCATTCTGGGGTGCAAAGTATCCTTTCTTTGCTATAAACTATTTTTTTAGAAAGTTCAGCAGAATATTGCAAGAATTATTTGTGTTGTACACCACACCCAGTGCCCCATTTTACTGGAAGCAATATAATCTATAATAAAATATTCTCCCTCCATGCATTAATGTCCCTGAGTACTTTGGGCTATTTTATTACTGTTTAGGTAGGCTCTATTACAAACTCATACTTGCATTCTTACTCATACTTACACATTTTGAAGGAAACAATTGCCAGGTTATGAAACGCAAATGGAAAACCTGGCCTTGCTGCACAACATTCCTGCCAGTGAGGAGGCATTACAGAGGAACTGGGGGTCTCAACATGGTTCCATAAATGTGTAGTAGATGTCATCAAGTGGGGTGGGCACAGGGCCGGACTGGGAATGAAAAGCAGCCCTGGAAAAAGTTTTTTTTCCCAGCCCCATAATGCATCGTGCCAGCATAGTGTGCCGATATGGAAGCGGGAAACCAGCCTAACCTACATTTCTATCCTGTTTTCTGTCCTGTTTTATCCTGCCAACCAGCTTTATACCAACCTGCTCCACACCAACCTAACCTACGCTTCTATCCTGCTTTATCCTGCCAACCAGCTTTATACCAACTTGCTCAAAACCAGCCTAACCTACATTTCTATCTTGCTTTATCCTGCCAACCAGCTTTATACCAACCTGCTCAAAACCAACCTAACGTATGCTTCTATCCTGTTTTATCCTGCCAACCAGCTTTATACCAACCTGCTCCAAACCAACCTAACCTACACTTCTATCCTGTTTTATCCTGCCAAACAACTTTATACCAACCTGCTCCAAACCAGCCTAATCTATGTTTCTATCCTGCCAACCAGCTTTATACCAACCTGCTCCACACCAACCTAACCTACGCTTCTATCCTGTTTTATCCTGCCAACCAGCTTTATACCAACCTGCTCCAAACCAACCTAACCTACACTTCTATCCTGTTTTATCCTGCCAAACAACTTTATACCAACCTGCTCCAAACCAGCCTAATCTATGTTTCTATCCTGCCAACCAGTTTTATACCAACCTGCTCCACACCAACCTAACCTACGCTTCTATCCTGTTTTATCCTGCCAACCAGCTTTATACCAACCTGCTCCAAACCAACCTAACCTACGTTTCTATCCTGTTTTATCCTGCCAACCAGCTTTATACCAACCTGCTCCACACCAACCTAACCTACGCTTCTATCCTGCTTTATCCTGCCAACCAGCTTTATACCAACTTGCTCAAAACCAGCCTAACCTACATTTCTATCCTGCTTTATCCTGCCAACCAGCTTTATACCAACCTGCTCAAAACCAACCTAACGTATGCTTCTATCCTGTTTTATCCTGCCAACCAGCTTTATACCAACCTGCTCCAAACCAACCTAACCTACACTTCTATCCTGTTTTATCCTGCCAAACAACTTTATACCAACCTGCTCCAAACCAGCCTAATCTATGTTTCTATCCTGCCAACCAGTTTTATACCAACCTGCTCCACACCAACCTAACCTACGCTTCTATCCTGTTTTATCCTGCCAACCAGCTTTATACCAACCTGCTCCAAACCAACCTAACCTACGTTTCTATCCTGTTTTATCCTGCCAACCAGCTTTATACCAACCTGCTCCAAACCAACCTAACCTAAGCTTCTATCCTGTTTTATCCTGCCAACCAGCTTTATACCAACCTGCTCCAAACCAGCCTAATCTATGTTTCTATCCTGCCAACCAGCTTAATACCAACCTGCTCCAAACCAGCCTAATCTATGTTTCTATCCTGCCAACCAGCTTAATACCAACCTGCTCCAAACCAGCCTAATCTATGTTTCTATCCAGCCAACCAGCTTTATACCAACCTGCTCAACACCAGCCTAACCAACGCTTCTATCCTGCTTTATCCTGCCAACCAGCTTTATACCAACCTGCATAACACCAATCTGGACTTTGTTACCTACAAGATAATATTGCAAGGTGTTACTTTCCTATATTATCAGTGTTCCTACCAACAGGGGAGTGATTCACTAAAGTTATGCTTTTCCTATAATCCTGAAACCTTATTGTTGTATCCTGTTTTACTTGTCCTTCCATATTCAACCTACACTTTTATCTATAGGTTCTCTTATTATCTACCTACATCCAGTTTATAATCTATATAGGGCATATTGCCTCAACCTCTGTTTCTCTTATTTTCCTTCTCCCGATAATTTCATTTATAGGGTTTCCGGTTTCTTTATTATGTCCAAAATCACCAATAAAGCCTCTAATGTTAACTCTGGCCACAATCTCTTACCTGTCCTGCTCAAGATAATGGCAGTAGCTGTAATTTGCATGGTATCATTTGTCAGGGCGTATATCCAAATAATATGAAACATATCTGTTTTCCTAAATAGCAGAAACCATTAGCAAGAAGGCATTGAACGGATTCTTATAAAATCAGACAGTAGATAGAACTGCAGATTGTGAGGGAAACACTTCAAGAACTTTGACGAATAACAATTTATTACACAGAGTGGAGAAGTACTTAAATCAAGATTTTTTTCATTTGTATCTCTGTTTTTGTTGTCATTGGAACATATCTTCATCGTAGCATCATGTTTAAAAGAACTGGCCAAAGTGAGAAGCCTGTCATCAGGAGACAAGTTGATCAGTAGCCTCTTTTTCCTGTTTGGGAAAATCCTACTTTGAAGTATAGATTGTTTTACTGCTCTTCCTCTTTTAACTCTGTTGGTCAGTTGTCACTTGATCAGTGAATAAAATCACCATTTACTGGCTGACCCCTACCCATCAATCTTTTTTTTTTCTACCTCTTGATTAAGCAGGAGATATAGCCTACAAGATTGAGCAGCTTTATTGTCCATCATGACAACCTAAGCAGCTTATTTGCCCTACCGCCAAAAAAAAAAATAACGGAAAAAGAAAAACAACCACTTCTCCATTGCATGCCTCTTTTTTCTTGTGCCATGAACCGTATTCTGAATCAAAAATGAAAATGGTCGGACTTGCGAAAGTTGGTTCCCCCAAAATTCTGGTGCATGGTAGCTCGGAAATCTGATTTTTGGTTGATCACCCATTCGGCTCGACTTCATCAAATTGCATATACATTTTCCTAAACAGGACGGATGCATTGAAAGGATTCTGTTAAAACGAGAGAGACTCAATTGTTTCAAAACCAGGTTGTGGAGAAACACTAGAAAAATAACAATTTAATAGACAGAATGGATGAGTATTACAATCAAGATGTGGTAATTTGTCAATCTGTTTTATTTTTCATTGGAACATTGGACAATATCTACATCATAGCATCATGTTTAAAAGAATTGGCCAAAGTGAGAAGCCTGTCACCAGGAGACAAGTTGATAATTAGCCTCAGTTCTACCAATCTCCTTCTTCTGATCTATATGATGGCTGAAATATTGTGCAGTTATTTCTGGAAAACTTCTTTATTATTAGACTGTGTCCCAAAAACAATCACATTTTTTAATTCGTTAATACTGTCCTACAGCTTGTGGTGCAGTACATGGTACTCGGTCTATTGCAGCATGAAAATCACTAACCTTCAACACAGAGCCACCCAGTGGCTGCGTCAGAAAATGGCAAAAAACGTGACTATGATTCTTATTGGGTCAATGCTTCTATCAGTGCTACCAAGTATCTTGGTTACAACCGATATACACTTTCTTGAGAAAATACAGAGCAAAGATAATGTGACCATCAAAGTAATAACTTTCAGTTTTTCTTCATATTGTGGCATTAGTCTATATCTTGCAATTTCCTTTATAGCGTTTGCCATTTTTATCATTGCAACAATCTCCACCCTCTATACCCTCTGGAGACATGTAAGAAATATGGAAAGAAAAAGAGAGAGAAATGCCAATATTTTCAGGAATCCGCAACTTGATAAGTTATTCACTGCAGCTAGAACAGTAACTTTGCTCCTAATACTATGCACTATCTTCTATGTATCTCAGTCTATGATGTTCACAAATTTAATGTTTGGAAAATATCCCCCCATCACTTGGGTGGTGTTTATCATCATATTTCCATCACTGAATGGTGCAGTCTTAATAATAGGAAATCAAAAACTAAAGCAGCCTATGTTTGACTTATTCAAACAGATTTTTTAAGAAAAATAATACTCGAGAATTTGTTACTTGTGTCTTTTAATCATGATTATTTTAGATATTCAGTTATTTAATAATTTTAGATATTACTTTAGTATATATGTATGAATAAGAGAAATGTTTCTATTTTCTTACCCTTATAGATGAAAGTTATAGGATTTTGGTATAGAAACGAGAGCATACTATTTATTCTAATATAGAAACTATGCTTCACAGTACTGCTTTCTACATTTGCAAGCCTTTAGTAATAATTTGTTTAATGTAAACATCAAAATTAAATTACTCTGAAATAATCATCTCAACTTTTTGTATTTTCAAAATGAAGGTTTAGTCATATTAAAAGCATAAATTATTACTATGATTTTGCATTGATGGGGACATTTGTGTGAGCTGGTTTTGAAACTTTGACTTTCAATCCTTCAATTAAAGAAATGGAAGTTAAGAACATTCTATATAGAAGTGTCTGTTTGGTTCTACACGAGCCTTGGATGATTCTACACCTACTTCTCTACACCATAATTTCATTCTGGGATCATAGGCGTGCGCACGGGGTGTGCCGGGTGTGCCTGGGCACACCTTAATCCCTGTGGCCCACGCATGGATCGAGGTCGGCAGGGGAGATCACAGGATCTCCCCTGTCAGTCCATGCAGAGCCAGCACTATCTGAGCGCTGGCCTCGGCTGTGTGCCTCCATGGGCTGGTGGGGAGATCAAAGATCTTCCTCACCGCCCAGAGGCAGGAGAGGACCCAGGGTGCTCTAGTCAGCAGCTCCACCGGGCTCCTCTCGCGAGGTTGGAGTGTTGCAGGGGCAACCCTCAGATCTCGCGAGAGTGAACTCTAGCCCTGTAGGCAAGATTTCACTCACATTAGGACCACCAGGGATCAGGGATGGCAGATCCTTCTTACCTTTCCTAATCTGTCCCTCCCACCCCCACACACAATCACTCCAAACAAATTCCCACACACAGCACGCAGCACCCTCACACTTACAGTCAGGGCCGGTGCAATGATTTTTGCTGCCCTAGGCAAAAGTAAAGTTTGCCGCCCCCCATGTGAAATCACAATGCCCCACCCATATGATCTGCCATGTTAACTAACGCCAGTGCTGCAGTGCCGCCGTGTTTACATTAAAAGGCCTGCAGGGACAGGCCATGGACACCAGAACCACTACATTAAGCTGAAGGGGTTCTGGGGACTAGAGATTAGTGCCACGAATAATATACTAAATTGCCTACTTACAAGAAGATGAGGATGATGATGGGCTCTAGCTGCAGCCTGGCTCCACTGGTCTGGTGTAGAACAGGCTCCCTGGAGGCTGTTTGTAACTGTGGTCACAAAAATCAATGTTCTGGGAGAATGGGAAGCAGCTCCATTTTTTAAGGCCCTTTACAAAGCTCAAGGTCTGGGTCCCAGGGTCCACTTTCATGTTCCACCAATGAGTTTGTTCACAGGGGGTGGAGTAGGGGGATGTCCGGATATGTGTGTAAGGAATGCATTGTGTGAATCTGTGTTTGTATGTGTAAGGGCTGCAAGGTGTGTTTCTGTGTATGTACGGGATGCATTGAGTGTGTGCATCTGTAAGGGGTGCATTGAGTGTGTGTAAGGAATGCATTGTGTGTTTCTGTGTGTGTAAGGGATGCATTGTGTGTAAGGGTTGCATTGCTTGTGTGTGTGTGTGTGTGTGTGTGTGTCTGTGTGTGTCTGTGTGTGTGTAATGCATTGTGTGTTTTTCTGTGTGCAAGGGTTGCATTGTCTTTGTGTGTAAGGGGTGCATTGTGTGTGTGTGATGGATGTCAATCTCTTCTCCCCCCTCTCCCTCCCTTGTCCCTCTCTTCTCCCCCTTTGTCCCTCTCTTCCCCCCCTCCTTTGTCACTCTCTTCTCCCTGCTTGTCCCTCTCTTCTCCCCTCCTTGTCCTCTCTTCTCCCCTCCCCACTCTCATTTCCCCATCAATTCCCTCCCGTCAATTTCTTCCCCCCATCCCCTGTCCATTTCCCCTCCTGTCCATTTCCCCATGTCCATTTCCCTGTCCGTTTCCCCCACCTGTCCATTTCCCCCATGTCCAATTTCTCCCCGTCAATTTCTCTCCCTACCTCACTGTAGCGTGGCCGAGCCCTCTATGGTCCGCAGGTACAGGGAGCATCTGTCTCCTGTACCTGGCCGGACTAGCAGGAAGTACACACTCAGTGTGCACTTCCTGTTAGTCCGGCCGGGTACAGGAGACAGATGCTCCCTGTACCCGCGGACCATACCATAGAGGGCTCGGCCACGCTACAGAGAGGGAGTGACAGGAGGGAGCGCTGAGCACTCAGCACTTCCCTCCTGTCAGCCCCTCTCCCCATGCTGCGCCCGGGCGGTGCAGTCCGCCCTCATGGACGCACTGCCCGGGCAAAGCTGCAGCCGCCTGAGGCTCTCTACAGAGCGCTCGGGTGGCTGCAGCATGAGTGGAGCCGGCGCTCCTAGCGGCGCCCCCTCCCAAGGGGCGCCCTAGGCGGCTGCCTAGTCCGCCTTACAGGTAGCGCCAGCCCTGCATACAGTACACTAACAGCACACACACACACACAGCACACTAACAGCACCCACACACACAGCACCCTCACAGTACACTACCAGCACTCTCTCACACAGCACCCTCACACACAGCACATTAACAGCTCCCTCACACACAAAGCAGTGTATGTATGTATGTATGTTTATGTGTGTGTGTATATATATATATCTATATATATATACACATACATATATATACACATACATATACACGCGACATGTGTGTTTGTGCTTTAGGGCGCACGCCTATGTCTGGGGTGCAAAGTATCATTTCTTTGCTATAAACTAATTTTTGAGAAAGTGCAGCAAAATATTGGAGCGTAATAGATGTCATCAAGAACAGGGGGGTAGATTTCTTAGAGGCAAAGTGCCAGTGGTGGATGCACATTTCATCAGGTAAATAATTAAGAACGGGAGGCACTCATCAGGCATAGACTGGGACCTATGGCAACAAAAGGGCCCAATGGCAGACCATACCACCAGCACTGTTCATACAAATAGTAAATGCACAGCTTACATACAATTACTACTAATATAATGTTACATTACTCGTTGCATAGGGCAAACTTTAGTAGTAATCTAAATTCTAAATTTATGTATTTTATATTAAACATATAGTAGGCCCCGATATCTGTGTAACATTTTGATCTTTGCGGATATTTATGGGAATTAATTATTATTAATTATTTTTTAAAACTAAAAATTATATTTTCACAAAAATTATTAAAATTAATAATCTTTATTAAAATATAAGAGGTTGATATTTTATTGGCGCTATTCCTAATTATTATTTAAAAGTGAAGAGTTACTCACTATTTTAATTCTTAGACCTAGAGCACGTTGTTCGAATTAAATATTTCATACATTAATATCACAACTTTTTATCAAAATTATAATATTTACTTTTGTCAATAGGTGTTAACATACATGATAATTAGTGAACAGTTTTCAATAACATGAACAAAATATGGCATAGTATAGTATCCCAATCACAGTAAAGCAATTTTAAACTCTAAAAACATAGAAGTAGGGGACGCAATATATATGTGTTATAACAGAGGAGTAACAGAATTGATACTTATTCACACTGGTTCTTCTAATTATGTATGATCCACCTAAATATATAAATAATGCATAGCATAATACTGTATGGTGGGTACAATCTTATTTAAGATGTCAAATTCCAACTCACAATTTTCAGAGCCACGTATAGTAGGCTCTGACTATAACAGCATGCTCAGATATCCCCTTGAATGTTTATCCACTCCTCCGGAACACTGGGGATGTACACTGGGGATGTCATACTTATAAGGAGAGATACCTAGAACACCTCACTTGCACTTTGTGTGTTAAGATATCTTGTACAATTTTAAACTCTGTTAGAGTGATGGGATTGTTAGTCCATGACAATTTCAATCAACAGTGTTAGCATATGGATTATTCTACTCACATACAATTGATTGAGACAATCAGCAAATAGTATGTCACTATTTGTTAAATTATAAAGAACCATATGAGTAATCAGCATATGGATTATTATAATTTAAAGACAGATTTTTTTTAGAATCTTGAGGAATACAATCGTTTTACTCTTCGTTAGATTTACAATCACATGTGGATTGTTTGTCTATCGTAAATACCATTCATTGGACTTAGCTGGACATAGTTTGTAATTTACTCCTAAGGAAAATGTTTTATCAGCTAGCCACATAATTTTAACCAGCTCAGTGCTAACAAGCCAGTGTAAGCTTTTAACTCACACGGGATTTTAACTAGCTCACTGCTGTTTCACAGAGTAATTAATTATGATTAAATAATCCATCCAGTAACTAAATTCTTGCAGGTTTATTTAAAACAATTCTTTCTCTGATAAATATGTCCTAGTCTGTTATCTGATTAATATTAATCTGGTTAACTCTTGATAGTCTATGTTTATTTTATATCAATTTGTCTCCCAGTATGCAGTTTGAGATACAATTTTTTAATCATGGGCTATAACGAAACCAATTCTGGATTCTGATCAGCTTTTACCCAGAAAAATACTAACTTTTAGATATGTGATTTTATAATTGACATAATTGACTTATATTTACCGATAGATGTTCTGGATGTCTCTGGAGCAGATTGATTCAGAGTTAGTGAATTATAGTTAAAAGTTCTGGAGTTAGAAGTAGTGATGTCCCGAACGGTTCGCTGAACGGTTCGCCACGAACGGTTCGCCACGGACTCATCATTGAGTAAACTTTGACCCTGTACCTCACAGTCAGCAGACACATTCCAGCCAATCAGCAGCAGACCCTCCCTCCCAGATCCTCCCACCTCCTGGACAGATCACTAAGAATGCAGCTTCACAATGAATGTAAAATGGATGCTCTCCAGGAGGTGGGAGGGTCTGGGAGGGAGGGTCTGCTGCTGATTGGCTGGAATGTGTCTGCTGACTGTGAGGTACAGGGTCAAAGTTTACTAAATGATGAGTCCGCAGCGAACCGTTCGTGGAGAACCGTTCGCGAACCGTTCGGCGAACCGTTCGGGACATCACTAGTTAGAAGTGTTTCCAAGAATAGAGTATATAGAAATACTGAAGAATTTTTCCCTTGCAAAGATATAGCAGTGGTTAAGTTTACAGATGAAGCAAAGAGTAAGAAGGCAGTTCTTCAGGTGTTATTTTCAAGATTGTTTCAATAGATTATCTAGATTATCAGATGTCAAGGGATTTCAAGAGATCGTCCGAGTCCTGCTCCTTTTTTTTATCCCTATGTCATGGGGTTATATGTCATTCCTTATATGTTAACCTTCTGACCTAGTCCAATGGAAAATGTTAATGGCTGTTGACGTCATTTTGACTTATATTTCTATATGTTTCAAACAACAGGTGGAGCTGTTTGCTTACGTCAGAAATATTACCAGCTATTATCATATGTAAGATTAACTCTTGTTCAGGACAACAAGTAGGAATGTTTTAATTTCAAGACTTTTTAGTCAGCGTTTTATTTTCCTCAGTTTGGACTTTGGTTCCTCAAACCAATTTGTCCTTGCTTACCTAAGCGTTATTGCATTTCAAGATTTTAAATTGTCATACCTAATCGATGTATAGGTAATTACATATTTATATGTATATATATATGTTTCTATATATGTATATATGTTACTAACTAAGAATATATGACATTATATTACTGTTTTGTATATAACTAAACTTAATTATATACCTTATAGCAATATGTATGTGTGTTTGCTGAACAAATACTTTTTAATTAACAAATACTTGTCTTATCTTTGTTGACACAAATAGATTTACTCGCTGTATGACAAGGCAAAACTTTGAGAAAAACATCTTGTTTTTCTTCATATTAGGCACCTCATGGCATATTAGCTTTATTGCGTTTTTGCCATTATTCATGTATTTGTTTTATCCCACAATATATATGTATTACATTTCCTACACAATATCTCTGACAGATCACCCTTGGGGGTGCATTGCCATGAACATGTTTTAGCACCAACTGTTGTTCCCGTAGTAAATATAGATTAAGGAGAATGCTGAACACCTGATCCTAAAAGTAATTGTTGTCATGTATTTTAAAATTCTATAATGTCTAACGTGTTTTATGCATGCATGCTCAGTTGTAGTCAATGAAAGATCACAACAGCATTTAACAGCAGATGCATTAACACTATGTATGTTATAGTCATGTTCTTATCAAACATTTTTCTTGCAATCTACCTTAAATCTTGCATGAGGAGAATGAACCACATGGAATAGGGAACCACCTACCAATGATGGTTTGAACTTCTTATCAGGTCCCATTCAGGAACTCATTCACCAGTTCCATCTAGCTTAGAGATCTTGTACACTGTGACTCTTGTGCAGTCCTTTCCTACAAGTAAAATCTAAAGGACACACAGTCCTACCAATAACAGAACATACCTAGAACCAATTTTCTGAATACAATAAAGAACTCAAAAATAAATGTCTTACACACGAACATACATATAAATGGCTGATAGTTTCAGCTGACATTGGAAACATCCTCTTAAACAGTATCCAGAAGAGCAGACATTCCAAGGGCACGAGGAGAACCCATTCAAAACAGTTTAACAATTATAAGTTGTAAAATTTACAGTGCTTGGACTACTCATTTTAAGGTACTTTAGGGCTTAATTACATGAAATTGGAGTAATTTTTTTATATATATTTAAAATAAAATCCTACTATTCTCAGCACATTTTAATAACTGGTGTTTGATGGGTTAATTTTCCCATTGTGATTACAAATAGAATTGCAGTAATGTAGTTATCAAGTCTTCTTTGACATATATATATATATATATATATATCAGTGTCACATTAACACACACTAACTAGCACTAAAGATATTCATTTTACGTTATTACTAGCATTGTGACAGAACCACAGTTCTGCTAAATGCATTTTTTTCCTCACTTAAAATCCTTTATATGATTATTTTGTGGGTTTTTATATGCACCTATTAGTTGCATAGTTATTCGATTTGCTATGAAATCCACAGCTACCTATAAGGAGATATCTTGAGAATAGGAAAAAAAAATATTGCTAAAGGATAACCTTGAACTAAAGAAAGAGAAATATATGTCATATAACATACAAGTTGTGTGAATTTGGGAAGACCACATAAGTACAACAATAACCCATTTGAAATAAAATTGTATCTAATTGTTGATGAAATATAAGAGAGTCATTCAAGATTGCAAAGGTTCAAATGTTTGATATCTGATATTAACTGATTATACATTGTTAACGAAATTCAACCCTAAAGGTCACTGAATTAAAGAGAAAAATTAAATAGAAAGTATACAATTATGTGGTCACCTAACCTTTGGAAAAAAAGTAGAAAGTCTATGAAAATCAGTAATTATTACGATTAAACTATGAATGGTGACCTTTAGAACAAAACCTGAGCAATTAATACTTATAATAAAGCTGGGAGGCTAGTTGACTACCCTATCCTGTTGCTTTGTATGAAAAAGCAATATATAGTCTAGCCAACTATTCTGGTTTCCAAACTTTGTCTCTGTAGCTAAAGCACAATGACCATGCTACAAATTGCTACTTTCTTCACAGTTCTGATCCTGACTGGGATGCAGCAAGGTTAGTCATCTTTTTTATGCAAAGTAGTTCAAATATGTTGATTCACTTTAACCCCTTAGTGACCAGGCCGTTTTTCAGTTTTCTTACCGTTAAGGACCAGGGTTCTTTTTACATTTCTGCGGTGTTTGTGTTTAGCTGTAATTTTCCTCTTACTCATTTACTGTACCCACACATATTACATGCCGTTTTTCTCGCCCTTAAATGGTCTTTCTAAAGATACCCTTATTTTCATCATATAATATAATATACCAGAAAAAAAAAGTTAAATATAATGAAAATATTTTTAAAAACACACTTTTTTGAACTTTAGGCATGGATTCTCAGCTCCTATTAGGTGTTACTGTCAAACAATATATGTTCAGCAACATCTCCTGAGTACAGCAATACCCCACATGTATAGGTGTGTCGGGTTCTCTGGGGGATAAAAGACCTTATTTGGAGGGTGCACATTCCAGATTTCCAACTTGGAATTTTCACAGCTGGTCATCATGCACCCATGTCCCATTTCGGACATTTTTTAAAATGGCCAATGTAATTTACCCCATCAAACTATATGTTTTTAAATAGTAGACACCCTAGGGTATTTCAAATGGTGGTATTTTAACACTTTCCATGCACTAATTCTACCACCAGTCTCTGTCAAACATTTTGGTAGTCATTTTTTTGTTATTTTTTTACACACATTCTACTTTAGGCATGGCTTCTCAGCTCCTGTAGGTGTTACTGCCAAAGATCACCCCAATATGTATTCAGCAACATCTCCCGAGTACAGTGATACCACCTATGCATAGGTTTGTTGGGGGTGAAAAGCCAAACGTTTGACATGTGTTTTCCAAATTTGACATATCTTCTTTGCCTATCTTCTTTTTGGGTGCCTTTTTACAGATCCCAATTTATTTTCTTGCCATGCTTGTGCATATATTTAAAAGTTGACACCCCACGGTATTGTATATGGAGTGTTTTGATGCCTTTGATTCAATCGTTTTAGTCAAAAAATTGGAGAAAGTGTTTGGTGGTAATTTTTCAATTTTCATTTTTATATACACATTGCTTTTTGACTGTGATTTAGGAGAGCCTGTTATTGGTTATTGCAAGAAAACACTCTAGGTTGTTTTCTGCAAAGCCTCCTTAGTACACCCATGCTCCCCATACATAGGTTTGCCAGGATTTCGGGATGGTCCAGTTACAATTGTATGACTTATAATTTCAGTTGAAATTGAGAGTATTTCTTCTGATAGGCCTATATTTAGCTTGGGGCTTTTCACATACCCCAGTTTCATTTATTGCCATGAAAGTTTATATATTTGAAACGTAGACACCCCAAGGTATTATACATGGAGTGCTTTGATACAACTGTTTTAGCCCCCAAAAAATGGAGAAAGTGTGTGGTGGTAATTGTTCAATTTTCATTTTTACACACACATTGCTTTTTGACTATGATTTAGGAGACCCTGTTGTTGGATATTGCAAGAAAACACTCCAACCCCACCCATATGCCAGTTATAGGCCTTGATGCACACTGGCTTCCTTGTTCTCTCAGCTCCGCCACGTACAGGGACCTCCACAGTCCCCTCTGTGTGGATGGTGGTAAGAAGGCACACATCCTTCTTGTCTCTGTACTTAACTGCCAACAGCTACTCTTGGCGCAGAGCTGAGGTTCCCCCCTTCGTAGCCGGGTGCATGCAAGTTGTCTTGGGAAACCTATGCTGTTCTTTATGATTGTACCCCAAGCTACTGTATCAAAACAGTACAGTAGCTTGAACAAAGGGACACTTGTATAAAAACTGTCAGTACAAGTGGTACCCTTTGTTCATCAGGGGAAATATCAGGTCCCAGAAAATCTTGCCAATGGTTCCCATATGTTCTGGGCAACCTGGAGGGTCAGGGTGGCTATCCTTTCCCTCGTACACCCGGAAGGCCTGAGTATACCCAGTCTCGCTATCACAGAGCTTATACACCTTTACACCATACCTGGAGCACTTGGAAGGAACATACTGCTTGAATCCCAGCCTTCCCTTATACTTCATCAGAGATTCATCCACGCATATATTCCTTCCAGATGTATAAGCCTCTGCAAACCTGGTAGCGAAGTGGGTAATCAGGGGGTGGATTCTATACAGCTTGTCAAACTGGGGATGCTCCCTAAGGGGGCACAGGCTGTTGTCGCTGAAGTGCATGAAATGCAGAATCATTTCATACCTCTTCCTCGACATACATTGGGAGTAAATGGGGGTAGATTAGATGGGGTTACTGCTCCAGTAGGAGCGGAGGGATGGCTTCTTTATGATGCCCATCAGCATAGTCAATGCCCAGAATCTTTTAAATTCTGGCACATCGATGGGGGCCCATTGCTGCTTTGCCAAAAAAGAGTCAGACTTTGCAGCACGGAACTGATCGGCATATAAATTGGTTTGGGCGACAATGTTCCCCAATACATTATCGTCTAGAAACACCTCCATAAACTGCTGAGGGCTAAAACCTGCAACATCCACGTTGATGCCAAAATTTTCAGTAAAGGATGGGATATCTGGCCTCTGGCGATGAGGCACTACCCACTCTTCAGCAGTACTGCCAGCTGGAGCAGCATGTCTCCTTCTGGCAGGGGGACTAGCAGGCACAGATACAGCATACATACAATATTCTAACTTAGGGCCCCCACTCGCCACTCAGGGGTGGAGGCCGGGGGGGAAGACAATAGGTCCACCCTTCTTATTCTAACTTAGGGCCCCCACCCGCCGCCCGGGGGGGGGGGCCAGGGGGAGGACAATAGGTTCCCCCCCCATTATTTTACTTTAGGGCCCCCACTCGCTGCTCAGAGGTGGGGGCTGGGGGGGAGGACAATAGGTCCCACCCCTTATTTTACTTTAGGGCCCCCACCCGCCACTCAGGGGTGGGGGCCGGGGGGGAGCAATAGGTCCCCCTTCAGGTTAGAAGCCCCCACTGCTCACTGTTTACTAGACATGCCCCTACTCACGGTATAGCGAGTAGGGGCATAATTTACTGATACTAAGTAATCTTTACTTAGTATTAGTAAATTTGGATGAAAGACCAATTTAGGTCTTTCAGCCTTTTAGTAGATAGCTCCCTAATACCGTGGGTAGTTGGGAGTTATCTACTTATTCATTCCTGTCATTCCATTGATTGGCTAAGTAACATTTTATATGAATGTGTGTTACTTGATTGTTGTAAGTGTTGCAAATGCTTACAGCTGAATCCTGGCTATGTTTGTATACTTTTTATTTAAAGGGACACTATAGTCACCTGAACAACTTTAGCTTAATGAAGCAGTTTTGGTGTATAGAACATGCCCCTGCAGCCTCACTGCTCAATCCTCTGCCATTTAGGAGTTAAATCTCTTTGTTTATGAACCCTAGTCACACCTCCCTGCATGTGATTTGCACAGCCTTCCATAAACACTTGCTGTAAAGAGAGCCCTATTTAGGCTTTCTTTATTGCAAGTTCTGTTTAAAGCGGCACTGTCATGCCGAACTTACCTTTCCTCAATCTCTTCCTCTTCTCCCCCTCTCTCAGGATCTGTTCTTCATTTCTTCCTGTCTTCTTTAGTTTTCTTTAAAATCATAAGACAAAGTAGGGACTCTTTGCCTTATGGAGGATTCCTCCGCTTGACCAGCTCTGACCAGCGGAAGAGCAAAGCGTGCTTCATTTCCGCTGGTCAGAGCAATTTTCCCATGATCCCTAGCTTTCCTCAGTGTTCCCACAATGCTTCCTGTCATTTTACATGAAACTGCCGAATTGCGTTCTAACTGAATGACAACAGTATGTTCGTTTCTTTTAGAACGCAATTCGGCATTTTATTCGGATCGGAATTTCATTCTAATGAAAACTCTTATTGTTTTATTAGGGCCCCCACCCACCGCGCAGGGGTGGGGGCCCCCCATTGTTTATTAGGGCCCCCACCCCACTGTTGGAGGGCCCCATGGGAGGACAGTAGGTCCCCCATTATCTTTGGGGAGGACAGGTCCCCCCCATTATCTTTATGGCCCCCACCCGCCGCTCAGGGTGGGGGAGGGGGGGAGGACAATAGGTCCGCCCCCCCTTATTGTAATTTATGTCTTTTTTTTCAACAGTGAGCAGCCACAGGCTGCTCACTGTTTAGTAGACATGCCCCTACTCGCGGTATAGTGAGTAGGGGCATTTGGGAGATTTAAATCTCTCTTGTGCTATTATGGGGGTCATATTGACCCCCATAGAGTGAGAGGGGGTACTGGGGGGCTTATGAAGTGGTGGGGAGCACTGCTCCCTGCCGCTTCTATAGTTACATATTACAAGGAGGGAGCTGCACGCCGGTAGCTCCCTCCTTGTAATAAACTGCACGAACAAACATACACTGATACTCAGATACACTGATACATTGTGTTTGTTTGTTCGGCTGATCTTTCTATTCACTCATTCGTCTGTCTGATGAATGAATGAATAGATGAAATTCCCGTTCGCATGTCCAGGTGTTTCACTGGGCATGTGCGGGAATCTCAGTGTCTGCCTAGTGTGGGCTGATGACGTGTCCCACAGGGACTTCACCTACCCACACAAAGATGGCGGCGCCCTGAATCAAGATCGGGGCAGAAAATAAGGATTAAAAAATAGGTAATGTGGGGGGCTTAGGGGCATTTGGGGGTGACTAGTGGGTCAATTGGATGTAGTGGAGGCGGGAGGGGGGTTAAAAAAAAAACGGGTTTCGGCATGACAGTGCCGCTTTAATTAAGCTTTTTTTTTTATCCCCTGCTATGTTAATAGCTTGCTAGACCCTGCAAGATCCTCCTGTATGTGATTAAAGTTCAATTTAGAGATTGAGATAAAGTTATTTAAGGTAAATTACATCTGTTTGAAAGTGAAACCAGTTTTTTATCGTGCAGGCTCTGTCAATCATAGCCAGGGGAGGTGTGGCTAGGGCTGCATAAACAGAAACAAAGTGATTTAACTCCTAAATGACAGTGAATTGAGCAGTGAAATTGCAGGGGAATGATCTATACACTAAAACTTCTTTATTTAGCTAAAGTAATTTAGGTGACTATAGTGTTCCTTTAAATTTGTATACAGTGTAACATTCTTCATTCTTCCACTGAGTAGGTATATTAGTACTTCGGCAATACTGTGCTTCGACACTTCGACACTTCGGAACTTCGGCAACTTCGGAACTTCGACACTTCGGAACTTCGGCACTTTGGAACTTCGACACTTTGGTCAGGGCATCACAATTAGTTTCCGTCCATTAGCTGCCATTGTGGAGTTTTCTGTATCTGACCACAGGCCACAGGAGAGTAAGAATGGGAAGAGTCAAGAACAATGATGATACATCACTGAAAATCAAAGCATCAGATGTGACTGCAGCACAAAATTTGGTAGGGACCAATCTGTGTTTGATTTGTGCCTTTGTGCTACTAAGAGCTACAATATGTTCCACATAGCAGCATTCAGGCAGAAGCGAGTGATTGGTGGTGGTCCTGCAATGTGCAAAAAGGCCTTTCTTGCCTACACATTGTCAGTAAACAAATAATAACAAATGTCCAAGCTATCATTCAGAGACGTAGCTAGATAGTGATGTATTTACATTTTACTGATCCTTAGGATGGTCAGACTTAGGAAGGTGACACACACCTACAAACAGGCAGAGAATAGTTGAGGGTTACAGAAAGACAACAGAACAACAAAACAAAATCAACATATATTAGCAAATAAAAGCACTGTTAGGTAAGCACAGCAGTGCAAGGGACTTTCCAAGCAGTGGTTATGTATAGGTAGTATTGAAAACCTATTGGCCTGTGTTTTAATTGCAGTGCCAGAATGTGTAGGACTTATGTCGTAGAGATGACATCACAGAAACCGTTGACAATGACGCTGGGGTACATGGGAATAAAAGGACATGGTGTGATCAGCAATGTCACACAACAGACATGCAAACTTGATGACAGGAAGGCAGAACAGGTAACGTGAATAACCCCGGCAAATTTTCAGCAATGCAAATACAAGAAAATGACCGAATGGATGAAAAAGATAACCAGGAAAATTCCAGGCTAAAGCCCACTTAGCCACTCTTGTAGAATTTTTTACAAGCTGCACTCATAGGGTTAATGTAGTACTATTTCAGCATCACACAATTGCATGATTTTGCTATTACATGACGAAAAGTCATGATTTTATTAAAGACACGCAGGCGAGTATTGCATATCCCTTTCTTTACTGTCCACCAATAGCAGTAAAGGATACAAACAGAATAAAAAAATAATGAATATTGAGTAACTTAGGCCCCTCCCTGATAAAGTCCCAGTATAACAGCCAGCACCGCCCTTCTATCTTCTTCTTTCTTAAGATGCGACACCGAAAATAAAGTCCATATACAGGAACAACAGTAGAGTCCAGTGAGAAGAAACGCAGAACCTCAGGACCAGAACATAGGATCATCGATTCAATAACAGGGAAGCACATCGGGATGACGGCAGAACAAACTCCAACCCCAGGGGAATTCCTCACATGCTGAAGACTTGATATTCAATAGGTCCAAATCAGGCTGTGGAAACATAAAGAACAGGAGCCCAAGGGTTAAATCAGTACTTGAGACTAACATCAGGGCCAGGCGATGCAAAGCCCCACATACATCCCCAATATAAAAACCAGGTAGACCCGAACTCCCCCTAGTTACTCAACCAAACCCCCCAACTACACAGGACCCACTTACCGTAACATCGGGTCCATACATGTCTCAACATATCAAAAAAAACTGGGCGGAAAAACCAATGTAGGTAAAGTGAGAAATTCAATACGGGCGGGACAATACTCGCCTCCGTGTCTTTAATAAAATCATGACTTTTCATCATGTAATAGCAAAATCATGCAATTTTATAGCAAGACACGGAGGCTCATATTGCAAGTTTAAAGCTGACCTACTACCACATCGAACATGTAAATAATCGGTCGAAAGTAAAATTCCTGAAAAGTAGTTTCCCTCGACCAGTCTGCCATCCTCATGAGATCTTCCAAATGCGCACCTGAAGCTATAATCGAAGAGGCTGAAGCCCCCCTAACCAAATGAGCGCCAAAGAGCGCAGTATCAATACCGGCTTGAGTCAGTAACCTTTTCACCCAGCATTACAACGTGGTGCTGGTGACGGGGGCAAAAGGAGGATTGAAGGATAAAAATAGTTGGGGAGAGGCAGCGGAACGGTGTAGTTTGGTGCGATCCTCATATTCGCGTAAGCAAGCCACCGGACACAACACCGGTGTAGTCGAGAAAATCGGATAGGACACCGACGTAATAGACGTCTTAGTGCGCCTACTGATATTGAATGTCACTCCCTCCAGGGTGCATGATCTGGCATCAAGATCCAGGGCTCGGACGTCCGAGACCCTCTTTGAAATGAGGCAGAACAGACAAACCAATTTAGCCGATAGCTGCAAGGGGAGTGCAGAGTTTGCGGGCCAGGCCATGAGGAAAGATAATACAACAGAAACATCCCAGGTTGCAGAGTAGTGAGGCCTGGGTGGCCGGAAGAGACGAGAGCACCGGAGGAGCAGGCATACCAGGGGATGTTGACCGGCAGGGCACCCGTCAAAATCCTGATGTGTCGAAGAGATGGCCAACCGGTAGAGATTGATGTTCCGGTAGGCCTTACCTGCTTCAAAGAGGGAAGTCAGGAATTGTAGAATTGTGGTCACAGGTGCTGAAACGGGATCCACGTCCCTAGCCAGGCACCAGCCAGCCCAAGCTCGCCAAGCTGACCCATATGCCCATCTAGTGCCGGGGGCCCATGCGTCTGCCAACAGGCATCTAGTAGTCTCCAAAACTCCCTGGACCTCCCAGGGTCCCCTGAAATTCGCCATGCTAGGAAAGGGAGAGACAAATAGATACTAATATGAGGCGCTTTTCCTTAAGTGTTATATATTCAGGGTATTATGCCTTTAATTTCCATATATCCAAGGTGTTATACCTTTAATTTTTAATTATAATATGTGCTGCTATCCTCGTACTTCCCCTGTGTGTCACACATACATAACAAGATTTTCAATGTATTTGACAATGAGTTAGCGCACAATCTTTTTTGAAAGATCTCCAATTGGAAAGTACAGAAAAATAAGAAATTATAATTATAACCTATTAACCTTATAGATGTAATTTATACAGAATGTGTGCTCACACAAAAATACTTTTTCATTAAATATAAACAACTTCCAGCATAGAGAGTCCCAGAAATGAGCAATCCAAATCTCAAAAGATAACCACTTTTTTCTTTTTCCAGCACTCCAGGGTTTAAGCTGTTATCTAGGGAAATACAATGCTTAAATGGTGTGATAACATTAGGTAAAGAGCCTCCACCATATGCACCCTATGTGGAGCTCTCACCTTATTCTGTTATACTTTGGTTATAATGACTTGTATCCACTTTTTATATAACCCACAATATAGAGATTAATTACTCCAGAGATATTTCAAGGATTACTCAACTTTATTTCCATTTTAAAATAAATAAAATATAAAAATATAAAAGATATATAGCTGAAACAGTAAATGTCACTGTATTTATACAGCTCACGGTTCTTGGGGTAATTACAGTTTTTTGTGCAGGTCCACCGTCTGCCGAAGTTGCTGCTTGTTTCTCCTCTCCCCTGAACGCTGGATATGTAAAAATCGGCACCACGTAACTTACTAGTTTCGCCCTAGTGGGCTTTCTCAAAGTCTGTGGATGCCAGCACTACAAATTGATTTTGTGATCGAAGCTATTTTATTGATCCTAAATAACAATGTTTTTACGTTTGAAAACCAGAATTCTATTCAAAAGATCGGCACAGCCACGGGAACGAGCTTTGCACCCAGTTATGCCAATCTCTTTATGTCCAGTCGGGAGGACAAATATGTATGGGATGGGCATGGCTGGAGTGCAAACCTCGTCACATATAGGCGTTTTATAGATGATATGTTTTTTATCTGAAAGGGACCAGAGGAAGATCTTAAGAATTTTTTGGAATTTTTAAATTCGAACGATTGGGGGATCACATTGAAGGCCGAGTTCAGCAATACAAAAGTGGAATTCTTAGATCTAGAAATCTTCATAAATGAAGGTCATTTGAAGACCAAGACATTTTTTAAGAAAATAGACATCAACAATTACATCCTAAAGACCAGTTACCACCATTATCCGTGGTTGGCAAATATCCCAAAAAATCAATTTACAAGAGTAAAAAAAAAACTGCTCGCAAGTTGACGATTTTATCCAACAAGCCGACTTCTTAAAAAGAAGATTTCTGGATAAGGATTATGATGAAGAAAATGTAGAAGAAGCCCTGGAATAGGTTATGAAAATGAAGAGAGATGATCTTCTTGAATATAAAAACAAAGAAGGAAAAAGGCAGAATACAGGAAGATACGGAGATCCCGATTATTTTTAACTTCAATAACCAAGCACAAGAAATTAAGAAAAACGTGAATAAATGGTGGCCAGTTTTAAGACGGGATGAAGTAGTCTACAACATTCTACCAGACAAACCAAAAATAGTCTTCAGAGGGGCATCAAACCTGAAATCTATGTTAGCCCCGAGTCAATTACCAGAGAAGAGAATAAGATCGATAGAGAATCCCTCTAACTTACAAAATGGCTTCTACAAATGTGAAACATGCAGCGCTTGTCGAGTGAGTGCTAAAACTAATAGAAAATGTATAGATTTCAAATCATACCACACAGGAGAAGAGTTCAAAAAAAAAAGTATTATCACTTGTAACACCAAAGGGGTAATATATCTAATATATTGTACATGTGGATTGCAACATATTGGACGAACTGAGAGACTGTTAAAGAAAAGATTATACGAACATATATATAATATAAGGAGGGGATTCGAAGGACACAGCATCTCAACACACTTTAAGTTGAGACATGGAATGGATCCAAGTCAAATGTACTTCTGTGGAATTGAACAAGTGAAAAAGGATGTAAGAGGAGGAGACTATACGAGAAAACTGGCAATTTGGATATTTAAACAGGGGGCTTTGAAGCCAAATGGTTTAAATATCAATTTTGAACTTACACATTTTCTGGAGTAGATCCACAAAAAATACAAAATGAAAAGGAAAATAATTTTGAATAGGAATGCACCTTTAAGAAAAAGTATAGGTCTGTGACCTGTAAGTGATAGAATTGAATGTACATCACTTTTCCAAGAAAGGGCATAGAGAAAAAATCACATGATTTTAAAATATGTGCAGTAACTATTTTTAGGAAACGTTTTATAGTATCCTTTTTAGAAAAAAAAATTTACATTAAGGGAATTACCATCTTGGAAAGTATACCCAATTAAAATTAGAAATCATATTTTAAATGGTATAGTTTTATAAGCACCATAGAAATGTTTTTGTTTATATGTATATGTACTTATAAGCTTTATATGTAAGATATCCATGAAATCCTGTATAAAAAGAATCGATAAGTTAAAAAGAAGATAAAACTTTGATTTTATGCATGTGAAAAGGTTAATGAACATGTGCCCTTAAGATCTATATGTAAAGTAGACATTTTTAAAAAAAAAAACATGTATAAATTAAACTGATAAGATGTAAGGGAAATGACATCAGGATTACACACAAGTGAAGGGGTTAATAAAGCAGGTAGGAAGAACCTGCAGGATATTTGTAATCAAGTACAAGGGAATTTAAACAAGATCGTCAGTAGGCATCCACAGACTTTGAGAAAGCCCACCGAGGACGAAACTAGTAAGTTATGTGGTGCCGATTTTTACGTATCCAGCGTTCAGGGGAGAGGAGAAACAAATAGCAACATCGGCGGACGGTGGACCTGCACAAAAAACTGTAACTACCCCAAGAACCGTGAGCTGTATAAATACAGTGACATTTACTGTTTCAGCTATATATCTTTTATATTTTTATATTTTATTTATTTTAAAACGGAAATAAAGTTGAGTAATCCTTGAAAGATCTCTGGAGTAATTAATCTCTATATTGTGGGTTATATACAAAGTGGATACAAGTCATTGTAACTAAAGTGCAACAGAATAAGGTGAGAGCTCCACATGGGGTGCATATTACCTAATGTTATCACACCATTTAAGCCCTGTATTTCACTAGATAACAGCTTAACCCCTGGAGTGCTGGAAAAAGAAAAAAAGTGGTTATCTTTTGAGATTTGGACTGCTCATTTCTGGGATTCATTTCTGGGACTCTCTGTGCTGTTGGTTATATTTAATGAAAAAGTATTTTTGTGTGAGCACACATTCTGCATACATTACATCTATAAGTTTAATAGGTTATAATTATAATTTCTTATTTTTCTTTACTTTCCAATTGGAGAGCTTTCAAAGTAGAGGGAGCCAACAGGAGAGGGTGACAACACCCCATCGGAAGGATGGCAACAGCCTGGGGTAATCCACTGCCATCTCGAGACGTTGGGGGAACCACGACTGCAGCTCCCAGAAGGGTGTCACTATGACTAGTTCGTCCTGATGCAGGACTGAAGGAGTGTGCGAGGGATCATGGAGAATGGGGGAAAGGCATACAGGAGGTCTCCGCGCTAGTGTTGCAGGAAGGCGTCCACTGCCTCCGCCATAGGGTCAGGTCTCCATCTGAAAAACTGAGGGAGTTGGGCATTGAGTCAGGATGCGAACAGGTCGATAGCAAAAGGACCCCAAAGAGATGACACATTGGAGAACACGCACGCGCACAATTTCCAGTCGCCGGCGTCCGAGAGATATCGTGAACTCCAATCCGCCTGGACAACCAGGTTTCCAATTCAGACAAAACTCCCAAAAGTCTTTCGCCAATCCGGCCAGAACCGCTGATTGGGTTCCACCCATGTGGTTGACATATCTCACTGCTGACACGTTGTCCATGCGGAGGCGAATGCATGTTTGCGCTCGATCATGAAGGAGCCTGCCAAGAGTTCCAACACATTGATGTGGAGTCGGGATTCGGAGTCTGACCATCAACCCCCCCGTTGACACTCCCGCGCAATGGGCCCCCCAGCCATGGAGGCTCGCATCTGAGTCGATGGTGAATTCCGTCAAAAGGCCAAAGATCGCCCTGCCGTTCCATGCAGATAGGTTGAGGATCCACCATCGCAGTTCGTCCTTCGTCTCACTGTCCAGCGACACCAGATTCGCGTAGGAAGAGCTGTCTCTCAGGCGAGCTATCTTCAGGTGTTGAAGTGCGCTGTAGTGGAACGGGCCTGGAAATATTGCTTGAATGGACGATGCTAGTAGGCCAATGAGCCGAGCCAACTGTCGTAAGGTGAGTTGCGGTCGGGTGAGGGCTCTGCGAAGCTCCTTGCATATCGACTGAATAATGTTCATCGGAAGACTCAACGTCGTCCACAAGGAAACCCAGGAATTTCATAATAGTGGCCGGGGTCAGACAGGATTTCTCCCAGTTGATAACGAACCCCATGCGGGAAAGAAGGTCTAAGGCCTGCCGAAGGTGCGTAACGATGATGGAACGTTCCTGAGCCATGAGCAGGATGTTGTCCAAGTATATGATTAGACGAACGAATGCCCCGACTGCGCAGCCATGCCATCGCTGGGCGCCGCAGCTTTGTGAAACACCACAGGGCCGATGAGGGACCAAAGGGAAGGCAGGTAAACTGCCAAATCTCGTTCCGCTATTGGAAGCGTAGCAGGTCTCGGGACGCCTTGGCCACTGGCACTGCCAGGTATGCATCCTGCAGATCCAACTTCGCCAACCAGTCCCCGTGTAGAAGTAGGTCCCTCAGCAGGTGAATACCCTCCATCTTGAAATGGCAGTAGCGAACCATGGCATTGAGGGGGTGCAGATTAATGACAGGGCGCATTTGCCCGCCTTGCTTTTCCAGCAGGAAAATATTGCTTATGACACCTATGGGGCCAAGGGGAGCCAGTTCTATTGCTCCTTTGTAGAGGAGTGTGGAAAGCTCGTCGTCGGTCAATCTGCGGTCCCAAAGGGAGAAGCAGATCGGCCGAGGATGAGGGATACTCACAAGATTCCCTACGAGTTCTATCTGAAAACCACGAATTGTGTCCAGCACCCAAGTGTCGGCTGTTATAGCTGACCAAGCTGGGAAAAAATGTTGGAGTCTGCCCCCTACATAAACATGAGAAAAAAACATGAGGTATGGGTAAACTCACCATATGGGCATCTAGAACTGGTTCAGAAACCTCTGGATCGCCACGGGCGTCCGCGTGACGGGAAGAATGGGGAACGGGTTTTCGTCTCCTGGTAATTGGAGCGTTGCTGGTAAGAGCCTTGTCCCGGGACTGGAAATAGGTACGGCCGGACAGACAGCTCCTGGAACATCCAGCCCTGGTGGAGACCCGCCCTTGGAATAACCGTCTCATGTAGGCCTGGGCCTTGTCAAGGGCTGTAAATGCCCCCACAAAGCATCCTAGGTCTTTAATGAAGGAATCGCCAAACAATAAACCTTGGGCGTCCTTACCAGCTTCTGTGAGGGCAAGATTGGCAAACTTAGGTTCAATTTTGAATAGAATGGCCTTACGCCGTTCCCTGGAAAGGGAGGCATTGACACTCCCAGCAATGCAAATTGCCCTCTGGACCCAACCACAGAGGTCTTCAGGGTCGACCATACGATTCCTAGCTCTGGCGTCTTCAGCCAAGTCAAAAAGCTTCGCTAGTGGGCCAAATATGTCAAGGTGTTTGTCTTGGCATGACTTAACGGCCGAGTCTACATGGATTCCACCCCAATTTTTCCAGGAACTGGATCATCTTGGGATCTACCTCAGGGGTATCACAAACCTTATTAGGCACTATGGCCTTCAATATGTTTCGGGCCGCTTTACTGAGAGGGCGTCTTACCCAGTTTTCCTGGTATTTGGCTACGTAGTCCTCTGGGAGCCATTCTGCCGACCTAGGATGGTGAAGCTCATCAGGGTCGAAAAGAGGTTCGCCCAACTGATCCATGAGGGCGGACCCCGCAGTTGCGTGGTGAATCGCCCCTGTATCTCCTCCGGACATCTCTGCCTGAGCAGAGGAAAGGAGGTCAAAGCCCAATTCTGCAGCATCTTTATCAGAGTCATCACCTGACTACCTATAGCCTCCTCACTAGACCCGATTTCAGAGTCAGAGTCGCTCTCTATTTGTGCTCTAGCACATTTCCATAGCCGCGCCCATTCTGCCTGGCGTGGAAAGGCTCTTTTGCGTGGGTGGGACACGCTTTCTGGGGCAACCATAGGTACCCCCATCTAAGATAGGCGTACCTATGGTCGCGCCAGAAAGCATGGCCACTATGGAGGTAGAGGTCATTTATGAGTAGCTTTCCCTGGTGCTTCTCCAGGCGGGTCCATAGTAGGATGCGATTGGGGCGGTGTGTAGCCCGAAATCTATGCGTCTAAAGGATGTGGCAGCAGGGCCTGGGATATAGTTTGGGAGAGGGCAGATGACATGGACCCCATGGTTGCAATTATGGCTTCCCTCACTGAGCACTGTTGTGCTAAATATTGGGCCCCCTCCGTGGCTGGGTATGTCTGCCACAGTGAGAGGGGTGCCCAAGGAGGCCGGGTCTCTCGCAGGGCTAATGGGGCATCAAAAGGGGGGAAAAGGATGGGGCAACAGCAGAAACAGATTAAGCCCGGAAGGGGCAAAAAGGAGAAAGGAATAAAAACATCCGAAGCATAGGGGATGGAAAAACCGCAACTGGTCTGGGAACCTGAACAGTCACGTAATAGACAATACCATATATAGTATAAACATAAGTAATAACCAAAGTAATAAGGAGTAATAACATAAGTATATAAAAGATATACATAAGGCAATAACCACAGAGTTAAAATAGTGTACTTATCTGACTGTGGAGCAGCAAAGAAAGAGGAAGATAGGAGGTAGGTGCTGGCTGTTATAATGGGACTTGATCAGAGAGGGGCCTATGTTACTGAATATTCATTATTTTTTCATTCTGTTTGTATCCTTTGCTGCTATTGGTGGACAGTAAAGACAGGGATATGCAATATGAGCCTCTGTGTCTTGCTATAAAATCCTCACTTGTGTGTCTCTCTAATATCAATAAAGCTTAACGGACAGATTAAATTAGTACTTTTTTTGTCCCACAACAAATTTATCAATAACCATCAAGCAATTTCAAGTGGCTCAGGTAGTGCAGCTCATCCAGGATGGCACATCAATGCGAGCTGTGGCAAGAAGGTTTGCTGTATCTGTCAGCGTAGTGTCCAGAGCATGGAGGCGCTACCAGGAGACAGGCCAGTACATCAGGAGTCGTGGAGGAGGCTGTAGGAGGGCAACAACCCAGCACTAGGACCACTACCTCCGCCTTTGTGCAAGGAGGAACAGGAAGAGCACTGCCAGAGCCCTGCAAAATGACCTCCAGCAGGCCACAAATGTGCATGTGTCTGCTCAAACGGTCAGAAACAGACTCCATGAGGGTGGTATGAGGGTCCGACATCCACAGGTGGGGGTTGTGCTTACAGCCCAACACCGTGCAGGACGTTTGGCATTTGCCAGAGAACACCAAGATTGGCAAATTCGCCACTGGCGCCCTGTGCTCTTCACAGATGAAAGCAGGATCACACTGAGCACATGTGACAGACGTGACAGAGTCTGGAGACGCCGTGGAGAACGTTCTGCTACCTGCAACATCCTCCAGCATGACTGGTTTGGCAGTGGGTCAGTTATGGTGTGGGTTGGCATTTCTTTTGGGGGCCGCACAGCCCTCCATGTGCTCACCAGAGGTAGCCTGACTGCCATTAGGTACCGAGATGAGATCCTCAGACCCCTTGTGAGATCATATGCTGGTGCGGTTGGCCCTGGGTTCCTCCTCTTGCAAGACAATGCTAGACGTCATGTGGCTGGAGTCAGGGCTGGAACTGGGAATGAAAACCAGCCCTGGAAATAATTGCATACCAGCCCCATAGCATTGCGTCATTATACCCGCACAACAACCTTATTTTCTTGTTCAGAAAACGTAAAACCATGCATTTTAAAGCACATTTGAATAGTGAATTATTTGTAAATAAGACTGGTATGAAAGCATATATGGCTTTATATATAAAGAGCAAATTACAGTGGAAAGTTGTAAATGTGGAGCAATCATCATGAGTAGTCCATTTATTGCTATGGTGATTAGACTACATTTAGAACTTTCTCTTAATGGGGGTTTCTGTCTAGGATCAGGGAGGGCTGCAGATGTCCAGCTCAGGGATACTAGGTAATGATCCTGTCACCCTCTAGCACACTTTACCCCTCTCCCATTATCATAGTCTGTGCCTCTCCCCATGTTAAATACCATGGTCCCTGTGCCTCCCATGCCCAGTATTAGGAATCCCTGAAACCCCACCTCACATCAGAGTTCCTTCCTCCTCTTTTCATTATCAGGGTCCTTCTCATTATCAGGGTCCTTGTCCCAAACACAATTTAAGAACCTCTGTGCCCTCCATGCCCAGTATCACAGTTCTAGTAACCCCATCTCAGAATCAGGGCTCCATTTGCTTCCAATTCTCATTATCAACATCCTTGTCCCTGTGACCCCCATAACCAATATAAAAGTCCCTGTGCCCCTGATGACCAGTATCAGGGTCCCTAACCCCCTATGCCTAATATCATGATCCTTGTGCCCCTCCATGACCAGTATCAGGGTTGCTGAGCCCCCCCTCCCCTATGCCCAGTATCATGGTCCTCTGCCCCCCATGCTCACTACCAAGGTCCCTGTGCCCCCTCCCAGATTCTCCTTGCCCCCATGTTTCGTATCAGGCTCTCAGACAGAAAATTAGGCTGTAGAGGGAGAGGAAGCTGTCTGCTCCTATCTCACAGTCTCGCTCACCTCCAGTCCCCATTGTGCCCCCTCCTCCCGGCTGCTGAGCTCAGCCTCAGTTCATTCTTGCAGAATGTTCTGCAGATCTGAGGAAAGGGATGTTGCTGGCCGCCGCGCAGCTGCCGGATATGACGTCATATGCCCTACACTGCTTACATCCGGCGGCCCACAGCTGGCGTAGGAAAACTCTATGTGCACTTCTGGCCAGCGGCCGCATGAGAATCGACCATGGCCTGCTCTGCGGCTGCAGCAGGACAAACAGGAAAAAAAAATTTTCCTGTCTTGTAGCTGTGTCCAGCCACAGCTCAAAGCCGCCTCAGGCCAGACGGCCTATCGGGAAATTTCCCAGTATCCCGGTAGGCCAGTTGGCTTGGCTGGAGTGTGTCAGCAGTTCCTGCAAGACGAAGGCATTGATGCTATGGACAGGCCCGCCCATTCCCCAGACCTGAATCCAATTGAGCACATCTGGGACATCATGTCTCGCTCCATCCACCAATGTCACGTTGCACCACAGACTGTCCAGGAGTTGGCAGATGCTTTAGTCCAGGTCTGGGAGGAGATCCCTCAGGAGACCATCCGCCACCTCATCAGGAGCATGCACAGGCGTTGTAGGGAGGTCATACAGGCACGTGGAGGCCACACACACTACTGAGCCTCATTTTTACTTGTTTTAAGGACATTACATCAAAGTTGGATCCGCCTGTAGTGTGTTTTTCCACTTTAATTTTGAGTGTGACTCCAAATCCAGACCTCCATGGGTTGAAAAATTTGATTTCCATTTTTATAATTTTTGTGTGATTTTGTTGTCAGCACATTCAACTATGTAAAGAACAAAGTATTTCAAAAGAATATTTAATTCATTCAGATCTAGGATGTGTTATTTTTGTGTTCCCTTTATTTTTTTGAGCAGTGTATATTAGCCTAATTGCTGGTAACATACAAGGAGGTCCTGGTGCAGATTTCTCTCCTGTCCCAACCCATAGACATTTGGTGGGGGCTGCTAAATTTAAAAAAATGGGGGCTGGACAGATCAATCTAGTTCATCTTTATATTAACTCTGGAAGCAAATAGGTTAATCTCTGTATGTGAAGGTGCTGCACATACAGACTTCAGGCACCATGGCCACTTCAAGTAACTAAAGTGGTCATAGTGGCTGTAGTAACCATTTAAAAGAACACTCCAAGCTCTGTAAAGCCTACTAAACTTTTAGTGGGTGAACATTTCAGTTTAAAATAAAACTTTAATTGAGACAAAGTTACAAGATGGCAGCACACATATTTTAACATGAAGATTAAGTGAGCATTGTAGTGTCCTCCTGTAACTTGTGTGTGTGTGTTGAAAAAGTAACAGTTCTCGTCTGTGAATGTGGACGTACACCAAAATGTGGCTGGCCCAAATTACCACATAATTTAATCCAGACAATATTTAACTGCGTCCGAAGAAGTCTTTGGTGTACCATCTCTCTGTCATATATGCAATTTTACCAGCTAGAACACCAGGTCTCTATAGATTATAATCCAAACTGTTATGTCTTAAACTACTATATGATTATATTTAATTTATGTCATTCACAGTCTGCTCATCATCAAATGATGATAACAATAGAGGTCTTTCATCTGATCAACATGAAGCCCTGTCCATGGTGGATGAGTACATGACAGCTGTTCGGAAATTCATTGACAAAAAAGAGCATCTAGAGACCCTTAAGACAATTGAAGATTACTTGAAGAATGTTATCTGTGACAGTCGAGTCAATGAACAAGTTCTATCTGAATTCATAGACAACCTAAGTGATTACCTGGATTCAATGGACGATGGGAAATTCGCCAAGCGTGGCTTGATCCAGTTCCTGGATGATAAGCCACTGACTTTTTTAGAGGAATTCAAACACAGGTTACTTAACAAAGATTAAAAGCCATGGTAATGGTAAAGAATATACGTGATATACTGAATTATATTTGTATTACAAATAGAGAGAAAGTTATGTGTATTTGAGTCAAAAAGTCTGTTTTGTAGCCATATGTAAAAATAATCTAGTCTTAAGGGGATACTCTAAGCACCCAAACAAGTTTACCGTAGCTTAATGAAGCAATGTTGGTGTATAGATCATGCCCCTGCAGTCTAACTGCTCAATTCTTTGACATTTAAGAGTTAAATCACTTTTGATTCTGTTTATGCAGCCCTTGCTTCATCTCCCCTGGCTGTGAGTGACACTTCCTCCAAAAAGTTTTTATATTCTATTCTGTTAATTTCCAATCTGCCCACTTACAGTCTCCTCACACAGGAAATGTTTGCAAGAGGGACAGGGATGCCCACTTTAAGGGTTATTTACTAATGGAAGAACTGTGGACAATTCAAAGTGAATTTCAAACAAGGAAAAAGTAGTCAATCTGGAACAAATCTCAAAATGATCTATGCTTCCATTCTGGCTATTTTGGATTTAGATTACGTTTGTTTCCCATTACTAAATAACCCTGTGTATAACAATTCCTGCAGCTCTGCTATCAAACATTATTTACATTTGTAAATAACCATTCAAACTCTAGATGCCTGTACCCTAAACACCTCTTCTCCCCTAGTTCTGAATTTAACACCTTCCAAAACTTACAGAAACCATTTCCTTTTCCTAAGTCCCAAATGTAAAATCTAAACATGACCAAAAATAACTGGATCCTAGGTTTACTAAATGTACCCCAACTCCAACAATAAACCCAATAATCCTATACACACTCTGCACCAATACTAAATTTAATCCAACTCTTATCCTATTACCATAGGCGTGCGCACGGGGTGTGCCGGGTGTGCCTGGGCACACCCTAATCCCCGTGGCACGCCTATGGTTTGAGTCCTGCAGGAACAGCGTTCCTGCAGGCACTCAGTGCCCCCTGTTTCACCTATTGCCCCTGTCATGGGGAGGGCAAGAGGTGATGGATTTCCCCCCCTTCAGCGCGTCATATTCCGGCTCCCGCATCCAGCAGACAGCCCGCGCGGCGAGAGGGAGTAGAGAGCAGACAGCAGAGAGCTCCCTCGCCGCGCGCTGAGCTGCAGAGAGGCGCCCGCCCCCACTGGACCCCAGGGAAAAGTCCACCAGCACTCCAGGTAGGAGGCTGGGTGGACATTTTTTTTAAAAATTAAAATATAATAATTTGTGTATGTGTGTGTGTGTCTGTGAGTGTGTGTGTGTCTGTGAGTATGTGTGTGTGTGTGTCTGTGTGTGTCTGTGAGTGTGTGTCTGTGAGTATGTGTGTGTCAGTGTGTGTGTGAGTATGTGTGTGTCAGTGTGAGTGTATGTATGTGTGTGTGTGTGTGTGTGTGTGTGTACGTATATATATATATATATATACACACACACACGCAGAGCCGGCGCTATCTGAGTGCCGGCTCTGCTCTAAGCCTTCATGGGCCGGCGGGGAGACCAAAGATCTACCTCACCGGCCCACAGCAGCATGGAGGGAGGCAGTAGAGGACCCAGGCAGCTCTAGACAGAAGCTCCGCCAGGTTCCTCTCGCGATATCTGAGCGTTGCTGCGGCAACGCTCAGATCTCGCGAGAGTTAACTCTAGCCCCGCAGGCTAGAGTTCACTCTCCACTAGACCACCAGGGATGGCACATGGCAGCAAGGATTTACTAATCTGCCAAATCCCTCCAAACATACAGCACACACACATACAGCACCTACACACATACAGCTCACACACACACAGTACACTAACCGCACCCTCACAAACACACACAGCACCTTTAAAAAAAAACACAACACCCTCACACACAGCACACTAACAGCACCCTCACAAACAGCACCCTCACAGGACAAACATACACACACAAACAGCACAGTCACAAACACGCACCCTCACACACACATCACAATAACAGCACACACAGCAGTGTGTGTGTGTATATATATATATAGATAGATATATACACACACACGCGCGTGGCGTGTGTTTGTGCTTTAGGGTGCACACCCTAATGCAATAGGCTGCGCACGCCTATGCCTATTACCAAAACTGTAACCCTGCTAAAGCTTTAAGTCAACATGAGTCTTACGTTTGAAGTCGTCATGGGGTACATAGTACACACCAGTTGTCCTTGTAGCAGTGGAGTTAGTAGCAAACACTGCATCTCTGAGGCATGCGCAGATCTATGTGAATGTTCTCGCATACTGGGCAGATCATACGGTTGCAGAGAGATATGTTCTTACACCCTACAACTTTATTAGTCTCCATTTGCCAGATCTATTTAAATTATTTGCTCCTTCTGATTAACATTTAACACTTTGATTAGTGGTGTTACTACCACAGACACAGTGGTCGGAGCGGACCCGTCACTACAGGGGGCCTGGCCGGCCTGTATGCCTCTGCAACATTGGGCCGGCATAACTTCAAGGCCAGTGCACAGCCGCAGCACATGGATATGCTGGGGGGTGGTAATGAGACACATGAATGGGTGGTGGGGATGAGATATATGGATGGGCTGTGGGGAGGATAAGACATGCGGAGGGGCTGGGGGCAGGATGAAAAATAGAGGGACTGGGGGAGGGAATGCAGCACATGGAGGGCTTGGGGGATGGAATAGGACACGTGAAGGGGTTTGGGGGGAGGGAATGAAACACATGGATGGGCTGGGAAGGGAGAATGAGACACATGGAGAGGGTTGGGGGGAAATGATATGCATGCCCAAGGGCAATTTTCACACTGGGGGTTGGTGGTTTCTAGTTATGCCTCTGATCTGTTATTTTCATGTGCAAAAAAAGACACTCTATTGTATTTGACCCTGTTAGGCTGGACGAATCACCACATTGTCTGGAAACCCTTACGCTGCCATGGACTTATGCACTAACACTTTTCTGCTTTTCTTTCGTCTCAGTAATCAGCTGCTGGGAATACTCAAAAAAGTCACACCGTTTCAGATGGATTATCAATAAGCATTCGAACGTTTTAATGCTTGGTACATCGTATATATAAAACACAGTTTGTCAAGGCATGTATACATCAAAGGCAACATTAACCAATCAAAGGAGTCTAAGAACAGACAGTATAATTTTTTATATAACATTTCGTAATGCTGTAAGTTAGTTCATTTTAGCTGATGAGACTAGGAACCCAATTAAAAATTGCAGGTGCTAGAAAGAATGCTATTTTTTTCAAGTGCAGGATGTTTATAAAAGATAGCGAAAGCTGGCTGTCAGGCGCAAGGACACAAGAACAGAAAAATAGTGTATGTTTAAAAATTGTGAGTTTAACCCTTTCAAACCATGAGTATATTGTATAATAATCAGGCCTACTGATCATTTGGTCTTTCAATTTATGTATACAGTATTACTTTAGCTAAGTAATAAGAAATACAGATGTAGAAAGCAGGACATGCAACTGACACCTTGTAACATACAATATATATATATAGCTCTGTATGTCTAGGGGAATACTCACTAAGCTTTGCATTGGTAAAACAATTTGTTTCCATTAACCCCTCCTGTGTTCACAATACACACAATACTCATTGGGAATAATACCTATCCCTCATCTGTCAACCAGGTTATAGGATTACTTGGTCTGCAGGGGGATCTGGGGCCAGGAAAAAACCTCACAGTGGAGAAAACTCAGTGTGAGGACCACAACTGTACAGACATGTCATTCTTAGTGCTGACACCATATGTGATTGTAAAATACTTGCAAATATGAAGGTTTGCTTGGGTATTGGTAGGAGGGGGAAAACCACTTATTGATGGTATTTAAAAATACCCATTTACATACAAAAATTAGGAGATCCATAAGGAATTGTGTAAGTGGGAATGGGGTCATCAGCTTACGCCCAACATGGCCAAACACACCTCGGAGATGTACCCGTTAGCGAGTTCTTTAGGTGGCCTCTTCCCATAAGTTGTCACAAAACCAGCCGTAAGACTGGATGGGTTAAGAGATAGTGGATAAATAATGGATACTTAGACCACAAACAAACTACAGGGGTACCCCATTATGTCCACCCAGTACATCTGGGACCAGAACCAAGCATAGCCAGAATCCATATGCAGCGTGTCATGATTCCAAGAACTTCCTTGACCTTGCAGATGATGCCTATCCCAAGGCTAGGGTATAGATTAAAATGTTGTGGTCTGAAGCTTTAAGTGGGTAACCTGTGCCAAAATTCCAGCTACAAATTCTACGTGCGTAGTTATCGTGAAACTTAGCGTTCAGCAAGGCCCGAACATGAATATACACCTGCAAGCTTGCTATAGGTTAAGATAAGATAGATGATTTTATTTGGATTGAATAATGCTTGTAAAGACCACCCCTGTTTCCTGCTGAACAAAACCTGTTGCTAAGCCCATTAAATGTCAGAAGTCACTTTGAACCTTGTCTTGTATTGTTCATTGGGGCTCCTCGCCAGCTGGTTTGGGGAAAAGGAGAAATACAGAGAGTTGCAAATTGATACAAAAGACCATGGCAAGGGGAAATTCCTGACAGGGAAAATTCCTCACTATCAAAGATGAATATCCCATAGCACTTTCTTTGCTATTCCTTCCAAATAACCTACTAATCTAAATGTCCAATCAAATTATCACAATATGCAACTTGATGGGAGAGAAAACAATATTGAGGCTGCATATTAAATATTATCTGTCTACACTCAGGGGAAGTAAAATATAATTCACTTCTCTCTGCAAGTTCAAAACTTGTAGAAGCTATACCTAACAGACTCAACGTACATCAAAAACACACATTCTACGTCCATCCCTGGGTCAGTTAACACTTCTTCCCTCTCCAAATAACTCAAAAAAAAAAAAAAATAATAATAATAAAATAGTTTAATAGTTCAGCTTCCATAGTTCAGAAAAAGGAAAAATAAGTTGTTCAAGGAGTACAAGGAAATCAGTTTGGACACTGTAAATTGTTCCATAAGAATGGCTAATAGTAGCAAGATGGCTGACAAGACAACGTCAGCTTCCACATAGACTTTGTCCAAATATTCTTGCGCAAAGTCTTTAGGCTTAATAGGATACCAAACGCATACTCTCGGACAGAGGGACCCAATTTGTTTCTAGATTCTGGCGTGCACTGCTTTCTGCAAACAGTTGGGCATAGAGCTTTCTTTTTCCTCTTATCACCCTCAAACAAATGGGGAAGCGGCGAGAGCCAAGCAAGCCTTAGAATCAGTGGCGTACATACTGTGGCCAGCGTATTCTCCTGGGGGGGCCCAGGAGCCGGCCACCTCAGGGCCCCCCGAGGCTGGCCCTGGTGTCACCGGGCGGGAAGGCTGGCGCGCGAGGGAGCACTCTTCCCCGAGTGCTTCCTCTTCAGCTCCCTCGCGCACCACCAGCCCGGTGATACCACTAGACCCCAGGGAATCCCCTCAGCTCTCCAAAAGGTAAGGAGGCGGGGGATTAAATTTTTTTTAAAAACGTGTGTGTTAGTATTAATGTGTGTTAGAGTGTGTGTGTGTTAAGAGTGTGTGTTAGTGTTAGAGTGTCAGTGACTGTGTCTGTCACTGAGTGTGTTAGTTTGTGTGTGTTAGTGAATGTGTTTTGTGCGTATGTCTGTCTGTTAGTGAGTGTGTATGTATGTCAGAGTGTGTGTCTGTCAGTAAATCTGTGTGTGTGTTAGCTAGTGTGTATGCGTCTGTTCATGAGAGTGTCTGTTAGCTAATGTGTATACGTCTGTTCGTGAGAGTGTGTGTGTGTGTGTCTTAAGCACTTACCTTTCTCCAGCGCCGGACTCCCTTGGCACTGGGGATCTCTCCGCCCCGATTCCGCCGCTCAGCTCTGAATGCGCATGCATGGCAAGAGACACGCGCGCATTCAAACCGCCCGTAGGAAAGCATTACTCAGTGGGGGGTGGGGAGGGCACGGATCAGTTTTCGCACCGGGGCCCCATGGGTTGTGTGTACGCCACTGCTTAGAATCGTATTTGCATTGTTTTATCGATGCAAATCATACAAACTGGTCAAATCTCTTGTCCGTGGCAGAATTCGCTAGAAATAACAGTACTCATGAATCCTCAATGTTCAATCCTTTCTCTATAAATAATGGTTTTCACCCCACTGTGTTGCCTTCTAATTTTCCGAGCACTGATATTCCTGCTTTGGACATCCATTTGGCCTCTATCAAAGATACTTGGGCTTCGGTACATGACGCCTTACAATCTGCCTCTAAACATACTAAACTCCAGGCTGACAAACGGCATGGTGCCAATCCTGTCTATCAAGTCAGGGACATGGTCTGGCTTACCACGCGTCATATCAAATTGAAAGTTCCTTCTATGAAACTAGCATCTCGATTCATAGGTCCTTTGCGTGTCCTTTGACGTATTAATCCTGTGACGTACTCGCTGGCCCTTCCAGCTCATATGTGGATTACTAACACATTTCATATGTCTTTATTAAAACTGCTTACTTGCAACCGGTACACAAAGCGATTCATACCTCCTCCCCCTCTAGTGGTTGGTGGACAGGAGGAATTTGAGGTCCGCTCTATATTAAATTCCAGAATCTCTAGAGATGTGTTGTCATATTTGGTGGATTGGAAGGGTTACAGCCCTGAGGAACATTCTTGGATTCCTGCTGATAGAGTCCATGCTCCTCGTCTTGTCCGGTCGTTTCATAACAGGTTTCCTCACAAGCTGGCTCATTCCCACCCAGTGGGCGGTCTTCGAGTGGGGGGTACTGTCACGGCCTCCTGCTCGCAACGCGCTGCAGTCGTGCCTGACCGTCACAACCACACCAACGAACTGAGCTTACCTGCTCAGCAGTGAGTCGGGAGCCGCTCCGCCGGCTTCTCCAGGCTGCCAGCTCTAAACAAAAATGGCAGTAGACATTTATAGCCCCGCCCCCAGCATCAAAGGAACTTGCGTGTGAAGTCACTGTCAAAAGAGAGATATTTAAATCCCTTAAGCTACCCAGTTCATTGCCCTGTCCTGGGCGGGGAGAGAATGCTGGAGTGGGACTTATGGCTTAATATACTAGCCTATCACAATGGTAAAGATCATTTGTATGGCCATATATATATCATGGATCTGTTGAATACCAGAAGCTGTCAACCACTTGCATTCATTTTTGTTTTTTGATAGATCAATTAGGACATATTGCTCAATTTGTCCAACAAAATGTGGAACACAGATTTTATCAGCAAATTACATTGTAGATTACTCCCCCATCTTTCAGTGACAATACAAAAGATCCCCATATGTTCTGAATCTATGCATGTTTACAAGAATACACAGTTTTTGTCTTTTTATTCATTATATAATTGTTTTGAAGTGGAGATATTCAATGTAATAATCCAGTTCTAGTATTAAGCATTTGTTCCATGTGGGCATCACATATTTTACAGTGAGCCACATACGTTACATAAAAACAAAAAAGGGCAACTCCGAAAATGTTTTTAACAGAAGAGAGAAGCAATTTCAAGGATACCAGAAAACGGAAAATGATCTTACATTGAATGTAGTAAACTAAACATTTCAATTCAAAATTAATAACAGGACAGGAGTAGAAGCAAAAGTGCTGGTGCTGGTGAAATAGGGAGCCATACAGACATTCAGTATGTGCTAGCTCCTCATCTTGCAGTCTCTTTAATATACCCCAGAAGCAAAGCATTTTAAAGCATGGCAGAGAGGACCCTGAGAGAGGTGTGGAAGTTCCTGTGATTCATTTCATGTATTGGCTGGAAATGGATGGGGGTATTTTGTAATTTATAATGCTACAAACTGTAATTCTACTAGACACTGGAATATGTACAAATTAAATAATTTGAAGATTATAAAAATGTTAAACATGGTAGAATTTCTTTAATTTGGTTTATCCAGGAACTGGGAGAAATGGACATATTTCTGTTTACTCATTTTATCTAGAAAGGCACATCAGTTATACTCTGCGCACTTATTTACTTTAGTCTCCCAAATGTAAACAAATTGACTTGGTCTAGTGAAACATATCTCTTCTTAATTTGTTATCACCATATTGCATATTAGTAATATGACAGCAACCTTTAGAAGGAAGCAAATGCAAAGTAAATTTTTTCTCCAAACAGGAAACAAAAAAACAAAAACAAAAAAAGAATATCAGGTAAATGCAAAGTACAAAGCGCCCAATATTATGCAGCAATTGAATGCTTTTCATAGATCCTTGTTGTCTTCTGGTGTATGAGGTTATTTAGGTACACGCCTTAACTCATTCATTAACCAGATAGCCATACTGAGGAGAGCGAGTGATCCAGACTGATGAGTAGCTGCTATAGAAGTGGGGACATACAGCAACAAGGTGCTTATACCCAAAGTGACCTGAAAAAATAAATTTAAAAAAATTACAACATATTCTGGCTTATCTCAAAACAGTTTATGCAATAGGCATTTCTTAATCAGAATGACATAATAAAGGAAACACAATTCAATATCTAATTTGTGATCATTTCTCGTTTTAATGCTGATTAATTCTGTCTTAAAAGATCATGTGAAGTACCAACGCTACATGACCAGGTGGGATGAAGGCAGTTATATATAATTAGACTAAATTCTAACTCCTTTTATGTTTCAAGCACTTTCACTTATCTGTTATGTGTTAAACCTGAAGGTTCAGAACCTAGTTAGCGCGTGTAAGCCAACAATTAAGAAAATCAATGAACCCACTACAACAGGGGTACCCAAATGGTAGATCCTCAGTTGTTTTAAAACTACAGTTTCAATGATGCTTTGTCATTCTACAGGGATTAGAATGCATTATGTTAGTTGTAGTTCTACAACATCTGGGGATCAACCTTTTGGGTAGCCTTACAAAATACACATTTTTTCACAAAGCTAAGAATAAATACCATCTCTGTGACAAATTACTATGAATAGTACTGCAGATGAACAGATCTGTCCAGATATCCTACATATTGTATTCCTTAAATCTCTGTAATGGAAATTTTTTTAAACTAGTCTTCAGGCAAACTTTACATGAAACATTGAAAAGCCACACTTCAAATCACCACAGTGATTTGACTACGAGTAACTCCAATGCCAATGTGCAGATATCAATGGATTTGAAACACAAAGTGGTTTAATTGACTAAAACTCACAACTAATTTGCAAAACGTTTGCCAAAACAGACGATTTGAGAAAAACTAAATCAACCTGGTCTGGGTGCAGCAGCTCTGTAAAACAATGCAAAGTTAACACACCTCCAGTGGCTTTCTTCCTGATAGCCACTGGAGAAGTTTCTGCTTTGATCACAGACCTAAACTATGTTTTCATCAAATTCTGCTCCTAGAGTAGCATTTGAATGGTGCTATGTGTGATATACTGTGCATGCCTACAAGCCTCCCAATGCTTCCCTAAGGTAAAGCATTGGATTGGCTGAGGTCATCAAGATTAATGATCTCAGCTAACAAGGTGGAGCAGTAGAGTGATAGATGAAAGGTAAGTAAAATTACCTTTATCATATACATGGATGGGGCAGACATCTAAACTGCTACAGGAAATAAATTGTATTCCTAACACTATAGTGTTGCTTTAAATTCTGTAAGCTTCAATATGTAATGCAAAAGTGTTTTGAAATAAAAATATATTCATTAGCATTTTGATGTAAAAATGGAGATTAGAACCTGTAGGTACGCCACAGCAATCAGGGAGTTTAAGGCCAACTTTGCTCTACGAGGAAGAGGAACCTTGCGAGACACATAGTACAGTCCAGTGATAGCAGCTACAGAGCTGATGCCCTAAATATTTATGAAAAACAAACAAGTCACACAATTAGAACAGTTAACATTTAAAATACTAATAATAATAATAATAAAAAAAGCAAATTTACTGTAATCAGAATATAGACCATTACAAAGCAAAACACTAATTGCAGGTATGATTTCAATATAGAATAAAAGGAACATTTAAAGCACCATAACCATTGCAGGTCCCTGTAGTATTTATGGTGCCAGGACTGCCCTGGCATTGTTTTTGACTTCTTACTTGGGGCCCCAAGGGCATGGCTTCACAACTCTTCTATCATTGCCAGAGAGACGGAAGTTCTTTAGTATGAACTTCCGTTAGCTCTCCTGAGCCAAGCCTTACAATACAGGACATATCTCTTTGGCTGAGAGTGTTTAGCGGACGTTGAAAAATAGTTTGACTATGTACAATGGGCGGGGGCAGGGCACTCCTTGAGCCGTAATCACTACAGTAAGCTGTAGTGGTTATGGTGCTTGGTTTTGGTTTTTGTTAAAAGATTAACAAAATGGGCTGTTACTAATTTACTGGACCAATAATTTGTTTGAAGTCCAGCGTGTAGTATTTGGAACCTTTTTATTTTTCCTTTGGGGACAGCATTCCAAACCACTCACTTTCAGGGTTTCACAAGACTCAAATACACATACACCTTATGCACATGAGTTTCATGCATACCATCAATAGACAAAAACACAGTTGTGTAAAATTATAGTCCCTAAACACTTCAAACTAGCATAATTTCTCATTTCTTTTCATTGTTTACTACAATGCCATTTTTCTGATATTTGAGACATGTTAAATCTCTGGCAACCGCAGTGTTGAAGTATGAACCCAAGGAAAATAAAATACCAAAACAATGTTGTTATTTAGTGGCATTAAAGTCACATAGTTCCAGAAAAAAATATTCTTATATAAATTTATTGAAGAGAACTGTCCTTGAAAAATATGGATTTGAATGCATACTGGAATGGCAAAATAACTATTAAAGTAAATAAACAGCAGTCGTGCACAATTTTTAGATTTTGTAGATTAGTTCGCAAAAACATTGATTTCCTAATTCGAACCAGTTTTACAGAATTGGTCGGACAGACTGAAGTCGGTCCACATTTGTATTAAGAAAATATGAAAATTGACAATGTTGTTGAAATTCGGACCAGGCAGACCATACAGGGTGATGGCTGATGAGGTCATTGCTCTCTACAGGGAGCAAAGTAGGAGTCTCAGTTGAGCCGAAGGTGTGTAAATAGTGTTCTGAGAAAGTAAGGGCCAAGTTTTCAGGTATTTTTGCATACACTTCATTTATAAAAAAACAAACAAAAAAATAAAAATAAAACACCTATCGTTCCATTACATGCTGCAAGGTTTTTTTGGTTTTTTTTTTTTTTTTATAAAAAAAACAAAATTGACAGTTGTCATTTAACTCCATGTTTAGTTAATAAAAAATAAATAAAAAAAACGTATACAGGAATAGGTTAACTATTCCAGTTTATATAACAAAACAGTGTGTAGGTTTTGCTAATGAGTTCAAATATAGTGCAAATCATTTTTTGAGGCATGCACTACAGATCATCAGTATTTGAACAGTACTCACAAGGATTCTGTGATCAAACTGGACTGTTGTGGGATTTTCAAAGATGTTTTTTAATGTTGGGGAAAATGCAAGTAAGTCATCAGGAATCCAACGGTCCCCCATCTTGGGAAAGGAATTGTAAACAAGACCAGCGTCTAATCCTGCGACAAAGGCACCTGTTAAAAAATATTGAAGATATTTACCTCAGTCTAAACGTGCAGTTATTTTGTAAAAAAAAAAAAAAAAGGGAGAAAGTGTTGTATTCACGCCCATGAAGAAACGCAATTGTTTATTTACCAACACCAAATTGTAGTGTACTGAAAAGTAAATAAAAAAGGAAAGGAATGTATGGAAAAAATCTGTAGCATTTTAGCCTGAATATCATAACTTTTTCAAATTGCTTGAAAACAAAATAGAGCCTAAATTGTGAGAAGAGACAGAGTGGTGGTAGAAAGAACAAAAAATGGGGGATAACCCCTAAATAGCTAAATCCAATAGAATATATACAAAACCAAGAAAAAAAAAAAAAAAAATCTACCGGCAGAAGACTCCTATTGAGATATAAAGTTACAGCTAGGGTAAAGCCTTGTCACAGTAACCAGTAGTTGCTAATAAAACTTAACGTTTAATATTTAAACTAAAAAAAAAAAAAATATAGGACAGACAATGAATAAAAATAAAATAAATGAAAAGAACAGGATATTCAGTCCTATTGTTGTCAGGTAATATATCTTACTTACACAGCACAGAAAATTTGTGTCTGCTTTTAAACAGAAATGTACCTGTATTATTAGAGTAAGTATCAGAATAAGGTTTATAAGGATTCAGTGGTACAAATAGTTGCAATCAAGGCTCCAGATGAAGGAAAGATATCTGTTAACTAGACTCTTCTGCAGCAAGGGTCTAGTGTTTCCTCCTAAATGCCTCTTTTGCAAAGAGCATTAAAATGCTTATCTCCCTACTGTTAAACCTAATTAAGGTAAAGGTAATACAAGCTGAATTCTCGGTTAAAGTACAGTGATCGAGAGTCCCTATTAGTGGTAGATCAACATGGTCAATTTTAACTTTTTGCAAGCTTTACCCAGACCGGCATAATTAGCACGTCATGTGATAAACTGATCTCTTGGAATCTAATGCGCCTTCGTGGGCACCCCTTTGGAAAAGCCTGCTCTACTACTAGGACCACCCCACTCTGAAGTTAGATCAGTAAGGTTGAGGAATTGAGCAGACTGAAAAACCTGTGACAGGATGCCTATTCGGAAACAAGTTCTGTTTTTATCAAAGTGACGGCAGTGTTAGTACAACACGTGGATCTTGCCGGGTAGGCGCCCTGAGGCACTGACGCGTTTCAGCAGATTTGCTCATCAAGGGGGATAACTTTTTCATTTCAGCATAATTCAGTGTTTAGTTAATAGTCAAAAATAATAGAAATTAACGGGAGTGTTCCTTTAAAGAACAATTAATTGAAGTGGTAATGGTGCCTGGAGTCCTTGTCCTTAATCACTACTATAATGTTGAGTCACTGAAGTGGGCCTCCAATAGCAACATACAGAAATATAATAAAGTATCCAGCACTCAATATTATCCACCATCCATGGATGCAAGGCACACTGGTTCCGCTGTCCAGCAGCAACGACATAAAGATGGCCCAGCACACCACGGTATGTGAAAGCACTCAAAATGTACTGAGGATTCATATCAAGCAATGTTTTGGTCTTATCACAAAACCTTTATCAAGCTTGTCAAAGGCCTAGTGATAAGGATTAAACATTGCATGTTATTGCACATCAATACATTTACAGTGCTTTCACATACCCTGGTGTGCTGGATCATCTTCTTTATTCCAATGGCAGTATGGTGTGGGCAGAGCTAAGCTTCATCCTTACAAAATACCAATCCATACCAGGGATTTGGCAGTGATTGGCTGAGAGCTACTCGTTACTAGTTGCTACACCTGGTATGGTAAGCAGCTGATCATAGCTACACCTCCACAATTTCATCATTGTAGGCTGGGCTATAGGTTGCCTGGGACCACATATGTCTTCTAAACAGTGAGTAAACCATTTACTAATGATGCGAGACCTGATGATCACTGACTCCAGGCACGATAACTACTTCAATTTGTTAATATCTACAGTTATTTTTAACCAATGGTGTACTCAACTTACAGATCAGGTCTATTGATCTAAGTTATATGCATGTCTGCTTACTAGGTAGACTTTATTTTTTTGCTGTGAGAAATACCTGATAGGGCTGTGAGGAAAACCAGGCCTGCTGTCCAATGTGTGAATTTTCTCAGCCTTAATAACTGATGGGTTTCAGGTAACTGTTAAGAGACAAGAACAATCTCAGCACAAGTATACAGCCACAATTATAGAAAGAATACTTTACTTGTTACAGTAGCCATCTGATAAAATCTGGAAATTAATGTATAAAACTAGAGGTGAGAGAACATGTTTTACCCTGTGCCTTGGAAGAAGAAGTGATAAACCAGTCCAAAGACTTGCACAATACAGAACAAGAGCAGAACCCAAATGGGCTGCCAGACGGTACTGGCTGACACGTGGGACATCATAAGATTCTGGCTTTTCTTCTAAGCCACTTTTCACCATGTACCATCCTAAAAGACCCTTCAAGAAAACAAAATATGCATAGAGAAAAAGGTTGATTGTTACCAGGATTATTTTAAGAAAAATTACACACTTTTCACTTAACATCTCAATTCTCACATAGTTCCTCATTCACAGTATAAAAGTAAAATTTTATTCTCCTAAACTGAAAGACCAATCTGGGCTTAGTTATGTATGCACAAGTGTGAATACAGGACAGTACAGGCGTGTGAAGATTCAGTGTATTTGTACCCTCTTTTCCCCGCCCATGTCACTCTTCCAGTCCATCCATATGGTAAGATGTATGGGGATAGTTAGAAGTACTAGTATTAGTAGAACAGTGGCATAGGAGAAGGACGAATACTAGAAAACCTTACTCCCCCCATCCTTATATTGTACATTACATCCATCTTGAATGTATCATGTATACCGGTCCGTCCTTCCCATTATCTCATAAGTCCCTGGACGCCACTGTGTTTACCTTCAATTTGTTTAACTTTGCCAGCAGGTGGAGACCTCACCCCTGATGTAAAGTGTGAGTGAAGCTACTTGGAGCTATGTTTATTCCATAATGGATCACTGTACAGTAGCATGAGGCACAGCTCTGGTCAGCAACACTTCAAATCACCCAGATGGACTTCTGCCCTGGGGCAAGAATGCCACTGTTGGCTTTTTCGGATTCTTGACGAACATCTGCATGTTGATTCTCACCATTGGTAATCTAACACTAGATCGTCAGGGCTTAATTTCCACTTACCTAAGGTGAGAGCACGGAAAAATTTAAAGTTCCATTAGGTACTTGTAGACACACCCGTGGCTTGGCTCACACATAAAATGACATGAAAGAGCCCTTAGTCACTTATAAATTGTATAATGAGCATATGGGTTAAGGGTCACTCCTTGCCCAATAACCTATACAATAAACATATATGGTAATGTTGCTTCCAGATTGCCCATAAACATGCATTTAACAACACGCACTAAATCCTAGATTACTTTTTTGGCCTGGTGTTCTGTTAATGAGTGATTGCATCTTCTGTAACTTTACAAAAAAAAAAAAATCAGGGGCTTAGCAAAGAGACCAGAATATCAGAGTCCACAAACAAATCACAAATTAGGCTACTCTGTTTCGATTACGTTAATTTCAAAAACACTGATTAGTTGTGATAAACAATAATATTACAAAAAAAAAAAAACAACTCAATTGTTTTCGGTTTATATGTCTGTTAATAGCCTAACTGTATGACATACACCCTTTATTTTGATAAATCTAAGGAAGGATCCTCATGTTGATTAACATTCTGCAGCAGTATCTTTTGTGATATATTTTTAAGGAATCTGTTGGTTTTTTAGAAGGCCATTCCAGCAGGCCTTTTAGTATATTACCTGAAAGCAAACAAATCCACAGAGGCCTAGAACGCGGCCTTTCATTCCTCGATTAAACCAGCCCTTTCTCCAGAAGTAGACAGCTGGAAGAATGTAAGCCAGTCCCACTGCACGTCCCCACATACGATGGGAATATTCCATAAACCAGATAAACTTGAATTCATTCAGTGTCATATCATGGTTCAAGCTGAGAAAAAAAAAAAAAAAAAAGTGATCTGAACATCATGATTTTATATGTAGGATCGCACATCCAATATGGAACAGTGCATTTAAAGGAACACACCAAACAAGAATCACTAGAGCGCATTGTGGCAGTTATGGTGTCAGTAGTGCCTTGCATCCCCCACCAAAGTAAGCAGTGAAACCTTTTAAAAATGGTTTGGCTTTTTGCCTGGAGACTGCAAGATGTTACTCTCAGCCTCCACTACAGCCTTCTCACTAGCCAGAAGCTAGCTTTCTAAGCTAAGCCCAGCAGTGCTGCTGCTCCTGCTTAGGAGCCTCTGGCATTCCAGGTGGCTGAGAGGTAGCAGGGAGAGGTTTGTAGTGGAGCCCAGGTAGGAAGTAATTTCTGGCACAATACAGTGTTACATTAATTTCCTTCTAGATTCTAAAGAATCCACTTGGATTGAAGATATATAGTTTAAGGGAACACTAAAGTGCCAGGAATACAAAATGAGTGACGGCCACTAAAGGTGTTCCAAGGCAGTAAACACTGCCTTTTCTTTGAAAAGGCAGTGTTTACATTAAAAAAAGTCTGTAAAGACAGGAAGTAGACCTACATTAATCTGTAGTTGTTCTGGTAACTAGTGTCCCTTAAACACATCTTTCTAAAGCCAAAAAAGCAAGACACCATATGATTTCTTAATACGTGTCATTAGAGTGATTATCTAGCTGGAATTTCATTGTAGCAGTACGTTTATTGTTGTATTTATGTGCTTTTTTTTTTATTGCTTGAAATTAGAATTTTATTTTTTATTTTTATTTTTTAAGTCACTTAAAAGGTTACTCTAACCAAAAAAAATAAAGTATGGTGTTTTCCCCCAAATAAAAAATATTATTTTAAAATATATGTAATATTTCCAATTCTATGCAGTTCTTGCACAAGTTAAAAAGGTGGTAAAACGCAATCAAGAATGAATAATAAGGTTTTTTTTAATTTCCATTGCTATCTTTAATTAAAAACAGGTATAGAATTCTAAAGTTAGACTGGTCGGCAAACTAAAATAATACTAACTATGAAAGCAGGTGTATTTTATAAATATTTATAAAAATAATGACTAGTATTGTTGCTGTTCACCATGCACACTATGGAAAATTGTGTCAAAAAATGTTATTCTATTTTTTTATGTTTGCACGGTAACTTTCAAAATTTGCATATTTATTTTTACTGAAGGTTTTTTCCCCTAAAAGACCTGCTTAAAAGATAAACAATATGGAATGCATGATGTTTATTGATGGATATTGGCAATATTTTGAGTGCAAAGCCGAAACATAACTTTAGAACACAGGTGTGAAATGGCCTAGAAGCTATGGGTTTATATCAATCTTGCTAGCAAAATAAAAATATTTTTAGACATAAAATGTTTTATTATTGGAAATGTTTTACTTGCAGGGTTATTTACTAGAATAAGAATTGTCGGGAAATGAAAGTGGATGCTAAATTAATATTGAATTTAAGGCCAAGGTGGCCCAACTGGAAGCTTTTTCCAGTTCAGCTATTTTGACCTTTAGTTTAAAATTCACTTTGAATTTCTAACACCTTTCATTTTAATAAATAGCTCTGTTGGTAAATGATTGGTCTAATGAATATATTCTTCTTTTACCATGTTAATAAATTATACTACACGCACTTACATTTTGAACTCCGGGTATTGCTGGTATTTCTGGAATTCTGCTTCCCATTCATCTTTTGTAGATGGTGGTTTCATCTCCTTTACTAAATGCCAATCAACCATAGAAAGCCCGGATTCTGTTAATCTATTTAAAGTCATAGACAAAATTAATTTACATTAAGAATTTAACTCTAAAAACTCAATGTGTTTCGCAGGTTTTTAAAATTGAGTTACGAAGTAACAAACTAGTTGAGTTGATGAAACACCATATTCTGCTCTCTGATTTATAAGACTAACTTTCAAATAACCATTTTGAATAATTAAAGCTAAGTGTCTCACCTGGTTACGCCTCCAAGTATAACAGCTCCAGCCACCATCCCACTACAGACTAAAAGCCAGCGCCCCATTGTACGCTCTGCAGCAGAGTTGGGTAAAGACCCAACTGCAGCTCTGGATGGAGCTGCCATTTCTGATATCGTGCTGCTTTTCCATCTTTTTTGAAGAATGAAATCTCTCCAATGTGTGCCGTTCTTCTGTAACAAAGGTCAAGAAAGCTGTATGATATCTTATGTGATTATGTATCAGCAAATAACGGATTGTGCTTCTTAAAATGGCCTTGTCACTTTTTTCCCCCTTTTGGTTTTCAATTCCTTATGCTTTCTATATATTAATGATTATACCAACTCCCTTGTCACTTGCTTTTATTTAGATTACTATTTTTATTCCTTGAGCTGGGTCTCAATACCTGGGTGCAGCCATTTTGTTCTTCTCTGTCCATGATATCTACTGTATGCCCTTCTGTGGAATGATCTTACTGATGAAATAAAACCGCACCTAAAAGGGACACTTTTCAATCAAAACAACTTTTGTTTAAAGGGTTATATAACCCATTAAGGGGGAAGGGGAAATCTATATAAAATACCTTATTGGGCATTATGGAGATTTACCCCCTCCCCCGCAAAATAAAGCTTTTACACACACAGAATCCAGCAGGAGGAGCCACGTGCAGTCCAATCACAGACTTCTCATCGAGAATCATATGATTGGACAATTTTGTCTGCTCAGAGTGCATGTGTGCACTCAATGCTGGCATGGGAGGGAGAGGAGAAAAGGTTTAAATAAAAAAAAAAAAAAAAAACCACACACCTAGTAAACTGATAAAGTGCAAAAGTACAGCCTAATAGATAATATCCCCTCCAATAGTTCCAAAACACTGTCTTTGGTGCAAAAATGTGCACTGTGCATATTCACAATTATGTGCAGAATATAATGAAAAATATCAATATTACCTTTAAAAAGGTGTTAAAATCAGGTCAGGGCACTCTCAGAATTAGTATATACAAAGTGGATCATATATTGAGAAAAAAAAATAATATAGTGTAATATTTATTATAACAATACAAATTTTAAACAACCACATTTACACTCAAAAGGATATTTGAACAAACGTTTTTGTGGTATATACAGATTGGCCACCAGGGGGGAACTTCACCAGCAATCATATGCTGTCCACAGGATCCTATGCAGTAGTAGCAATCGTCTGGAAAGGCAAAGTTCATTCACCAGAATTTCAGTTCGCTAGAGTCCTTGTAGTGCGTTTGTGCATTTGGATTCGCTCAATGCCTTTCTTCCACGTTCTGGACTGTTTCAAAAATTGTGATTCCTTTAACCCCTTAAGGACCAAACGTCTGGAATAAAAGGGAATCATGACATCTCACACATGTCATGTGTCCTTAAGGGGTTAAGAGCGTTTGCCTTTTTATACCTGAATTAATTGGTTTCTCCGCCTTACAATTGACAACTTCCTTGTTCGCAGTTTTTTGTTGGTGACGTCATCCCATTCGGAACTAAACACCCAAGTTTTATTTATTTTTTACGTTTTCAATCAACTTTATCAGTATAGACATTGTCCAGAAAGTGCAAAAAAGCAATTAAACACTGTTAAATACAAAGGAAAATGCAAGGGATCCCTGATCCTAGATAAAATATATCAAACTATGTGTATATGCATGTATTTACAGAACCTGGGAACTTGCATTATCCTTACCAATAACAATACATTTAAAATTACAAATTAAATTTGCTATTTACAAAATGTATTCAAAGTATTAATATATGGTTATAAAACCACAAATAAAATCCACTTCAAAACGTACTACAATCAGTTGAAGATTTCCTTTATGGTGAATAGATAAATATAAAATGAGAGTTAGAAAAATACAGAAGATAACGTGTAGATATATGAAAATAGGAATATATATATATACATATATATATACACTGATATTTTACATCCTATTCTGCACATATTGTGAATTTGCACAGTGCACTTTTTGCGCCAAAGACAATATTTCGTTGTTTTTTTTTTTAAATAAAAAAAAAAATATATCAATAATGTGCTTCAAAAGGGAGGTGGGAGGGGATAGCAACCTTGCCCTTGCAAGCACTCTGCGTGCAAGATTATCACGTCTGTTGGCAGCATGCAGTGCACGCCGACGACAGATGTTTTTTATGCACAGAATTGATATCGACAGCCAGGAACAGAGTTCTGGGCTGCCAATGTCACATGTGCTGGGGATGCAACCAGCCTACAGCACACAATAAAATATAAAAAGTTAAAACATTTTTACTGCCTACAAAAGGATACAGATTTCCAAATGTATAGCATTAATCACTAACCTATATCAAATTGATCTTTGGTTGTTTACCATATCTGAAGGGGGTGCGATGGTGAAACTGACAAATATATATATATATATATATATATATATATATATATATATATATATATATCTCTATACACACACACACACACACACACACACACACACACACATATATATACACACACACACACACCTAAGGAAGAAATAAAAACAATCAAACCTTACACATCAGTTACCTGCCCTCTTTCACAGTGTATGAAGCGTAGTGCATGCTGCCTGCTCTGTGCCAAGCTGGACCGGAGAGTCACCAGAAGAAACATTTTTAAGTCCAATTTCTAATCTTCCTAATCTACGACCAGATCTATTACCAGGAAGAAAAAGGTAATTGTGACCTAGAGTGCATCAGCTTTTACCTGAAAAGAAATGAAAGGTGAGTATTTATAAAGCAAAAACACATATTTCACGCTCTGTCAAAACAGTCTCCCAAATATTTATGCATTTTTATTTTATTTTTTTATTACTGGCATTTATAAAGCGCCAAACTCTGCAACGCTGTACAATTGGGAAAAAGACAAAACACAATAAGAACAGCATGTTAGGATTTATTCTCTAAGCAGTGGATTTAAGTTAATTTAAAAGTTGTACCACAAAATGAATATCAAAATAGCAGGCATAGAACAAAAATCTGACTCTGGCTACAGTTAAATACATTTTTGATTTGCAGTTTTACTTCCACGTCACTGTTTGGTGCATAAACCTTAACATACTCCTAGTTGGCAACTTTACCTCTGAATAAATACAATACTCTTATGTTAAATGGTTGAAGCCGATTCACGCTTCCACCAGAAGATAATTTGACCCAAATGGTGTGTACACATAGGCGTGCGCACGGGGTGTGCCTGGGCACACCCTAATCCCCGTGACACGCCTATGGAGTGAGACCGTCATGGTAGATCTCAGGATCTCCCCTGTCAGCTCATGCAGAGCCAGCGCTATCTGAGCGCCGGCTCTGCTCTAAGCCTCCCCTCACCAACCCACAGGCAGTTAGGGAGGCAGGAGAGGACCTGGGGAGCTCTTGCCATCAGTTCCGCCGGGTTCCTTTTGTGAGATCTGAGCTGTCCTGAGGAAAGTCCCAATCGGGGTCTGAAACGTTGACCTTTTTCTTTTATTTTTTTGATGTGAAAATAAAAAAAAGTTACATTTTAATTGGAGCCTGGGAGTGCAGACCATCTTTTTGAATTATATATATATATATATATATATATATATATACACATACACACACACACACACACACACACACACATATATATATATATATATGCACTAAAGAAAAATGAGTTGTATCTGGTTAAAAACATTCAATGGGGTTTAGTCACTAAATTTGAAATAGTAGCAAACTGAAATTAAAATAACAAAATGAAGGTTTCAATAGCCATGCTGTGACTATAACAAGTGGAGATTTTTGGACCCAATAGATTTTAACTAATCTTTTTTTTTCCCCTCACAAGAATTGGGGAAGAAATAAATAAATGTAAAAAACACAATAAAGAGTAATTTACTTTATATCTTAATTAACACAAAATTGTGAAAGCAAATTGCATAGTACCACAGATATGGATGGATTTAATCATTATGCAATCCTCATATAGTCACACGTTTTAAATATTAACAAAGAGATTTTAACTTTAATAAAAGTGGAGCTATCAATTCATAAAAGCTGTATTTTAGTGCATAGTCTATTTAAAGTGACATACTAGATAAAGCATTGTAAACAGCCGCACTATGGAAGCTACTAACCTGTCAACACAGTGTAATGTCATTACAGGGCGCCGCCATCTTGAATATGACTTCAGGACGCAAGCGCACTAGCGGATGTCTATCGAAACGTGCTTACGTCACGAGCCCAGATGGGCTTGACGTCCTTTTGGTTACGACATCTACACTCGAGGGTGGAAATAGAGCAGAGTGGGTGTAGTAATATGGCGTAAAAATAGGTCAACCCGTAGCAGTCGGGGGGGGGGGCGGCGGGGGAGCTCATAGGGAAGCTCCTCATTACGTCATTTGTTGTGACGTAGAAAAGATGGCGCCATCGGCGAGAGCCCCTCCGATCTTCGTCCAATCAAGAGCTAAAGCTGTAATTCTGCGGTCCAACCAGTGAAGAGTAAAAGAACTCGATGCCCAATCAGAAACAAGGCTGTCAGGCTAGCATCCAGCGCTTAGATAAACTGCCGTCCAATCAAAACCTCGGCTGTCAGTTCGTTATCCAATCACCGCTTCGATGAATTGCTATCCTATCAAAACTACGGCTGTCAGTTGGTTATCCAATCACCGCTTTGATTAATTGTTATCCAATCAAAAACACTGCTGTCAGTTGGTTATCCAATCATCTCTTAGATGGATGCCGTCCAATTAAAAACACGGCTGTCAGGCGAGTATCCAATCACCGCTTTGATTAATTGTTATCCAATCAAAAACACGGCTGTCAGTTGGTTATCCAATCATCTCTTAGATGGATGCCGTCCAATTAAAAACACGGCTGTCAGGCGAGTATCAAATCACCGCTTTGATGAAATGTCCTCCAATTAAAAACACGACTGTCAGGCGAGTATCCAATCAGAGCTTTAATAGGATGCCTGCCAATGGAAATAGAGGGTGTGAGATTGTCCTCCTGGGAGTACGGCAAGCCGGAGGGGCCGTGCCTGTAGTGGATGAGTGGGCGGTGTGTAGAGTGTTTCTCCCTGAGGGAGAGGATGTGGGATGGTGAATATAGGAGGTAAACACGCAGTGTGTGCTAGCTGCATGTCTGACCCTCTGTGTTAGGACACCCCCAGCCATTACCCTACAGGCAGCACAACCCCAGCCAGGGGGTTCACTAAAGGGAGCTGCACAGATCAGGCCAAAGTAGTCGATATGAAACCATGTCTGACTTGGAGAATTTTTCCAGTTCGGCTACTTTGGCCTAAAACTTGGAATTCCCTTTAAATTCCTGGCCTTTTTTCCCTGTGTGAGTTTTGCTGTACATTTATACAACCTGCAGATATAAACGTGTCCTGTAGACCCCACTACAGCCACCTCTCTATTATGGTACCTACCACCCAGTGGTGGCCAAATGGTAGCTCCTCAGCTGAAATTCCAATGCTGCCCTGGCATGGCATGGAGTTTGCTTTAAGGGTGGCATTGCATCATGGGAGTTGTAGAGTGCTACTATTTGTCTTTCCTTAAAATTACTTTGTACCATTTATGCTAGCATGTGGGCATAAAACTCCTTGTATGCATTGGGTCATTTGATGTCCTTTTCTATTTGTTTTGGTTTATTTTTAGGAGGGGTCTGGAATTTTAGATAACTGTGCCCTTTCCAGGGTTTTGCTATGAGAAGGTAGATTTTTAAATGTATTTTTTGCACATAAATATGGCAATTTGCTGGCCTCCGTCAGCTCATTGAGAGTTTACAACTTTGTTTCTGCTGAAATACTTTCTCCAGGCAGGGTGTAAATGTACCGTCGACAATATAAAAATAATTATACAGTACTCTGTTTAACAGGATTCCAGCCGTAATTAAATAATTAATTCCGAGCCAGAATATGAATTAAGCACACTCACATACTATGTGAAAGATACATGTGTTTATTTTTTATTTATTCATTTTTGTCCAATGTTTACTTGATTGCTATTTGAAAGTTTTAGATGAAGCGAACAGTAGCACAGAAACATAAATAGAGCCATGACACATGTATATTGGATACAGCATAAACTGTAAAGTAACAAGGAAGATGCATGTACTCTGGTAACCTTACCCAACCAACAAAGCCTACTGAAATATGAAGTTACCATCTGGTGGGTGAAATTTAACAACCCCCACTACCCTGACAAAAAGAAAATCCTTGAACTGTATGTTTGCCTTTTTTTGATAAATACATTTTTTAAACGAAATAGGATAACTTTTATATGGAGTCATTCTGTTATTTCTATTTGGATTGTAAGAGTTGGTTAGAGATTTTTTCCTGCTTGGAAATTGAGTTAAAACACATGTATTGGTATTCTATTGTTGCGATGGTATTGGTTTGTTTTGTAGCTTGGTGGCACTATAATTTATTAAAGTGAACTTGTCATGACCGATATATGTTTGGAGTTTCTTAGCAATCTGGCTTACAATTTAAGTGTTTCTTTCATGCTATATATACTATAAAAAGTTAATTTTTAAATGTATTTCCATTACCCCTGTCTCCTCATAAATCCTGTTTTCAGTGGGTGTCACAGTTGCTGTAATACACACCTCTCCTGCATACCTCTGTCTGGGAAGCACTTGCTTCCCATAACAGGTCAAAAGCACATATATCACTTTGAGTCGGCTGTTTAATTTAAAAGCTTTAGCTTTGCCTCTCTGCAGGCTGAAAAACAAACATGTAAATATATATATATTCCAGCGCACTCGCTTATTCACTAAACAATGATTTCAAATCTTAGAGATTGTAATAGTTTTATTTAAAAACACCTCACCTAGGCAAAAAATGATAGGGGTTTAGTTACTTTATATGATCATACATTGCATAAGCCTACCAACTACGTCAAAGTACCCCATATTCGACAGGTCCTATCCTAGTAGCAGGCTAATGTGTGCTCTTATGAGATTAAGCCACTAACTTGGGACATACTTCCTTACTGGGACTCTCTGCAAGTCAAGGCTAAATAGGGTCCTGGAATGAGGCACCTGTAACAGGTATATAACTTTCTTATGCTTTAAACACCTACTCCAGGGGAGATACTGATCTAACCAATCGACATCATATCCCTAGGAATGCTGGAAAAGTGCATGGGGCTTGCATGACCGTTACACGTGCAGTTGGAAGATCTCTTGACCTTGTAAAATCGTGACAAGGGGAGAAGAGATGGAGTCTGATCAGTGTGATTCATGCATAGCAGGATCTGTATTAGGGTTTCTCTCTCATAATGATGCCCTATTTCTCGAATATATCCATGGCAGCACTACAGATGAGTATAGCTCCTCCCACTCCCAAATTGGATAGGAACACCTGCTAATTAAACAAATAAAAGAGAGATCCCTCCCCTAAGTCCCCAGTCTTTTTTTTTTTCTTGTCCACTCACATGGACAAAGATGTTTTACACCTTTTTGTGGCTTACTCTGGTCTAATGGCACCCCAGCCCATGAAGAGTTCAGCCTCTCTCCCCATGGAAGCCTCAGGAAGGATTCTCCCCTTAGCGACCGGGGGAGTCTTGCTTCAGTGACTCTATAAGTAGCAGCTGTGCCATTACCCATGAGGTGATAACTCCTGAGCAAGGGTACACCTACACTATTGAAGCACTGGGATTCTTCTGGCTTTCCCATGAATTATGTCTTTTCAGCATGATCAAGGATTACTTTTCCTCTCCATGAAGAATGGGTTCGGTGTCTTGTGTCATCTGTACATGGTGAGTGTAACTTTTCTTCCCTGATATTAAATTTTCCTGTTGGAGTATTGGAGGCTTATACCCCATATATATTTCTGGGGGACTCCCAATTTCTAAACATGTTATTCCTGAAACACAGGGGTGTATTACCGGTTCCTCTTCTGTATTGATTAATGGAACGCATTTGGAACACACTCCTAAGTGAGTTCATTCCTTCCCTCAGCAAGTGATACCTTTCGCATTGCTGCCATTGTGTGTCTGTCTAAAAAGACCACCCTTCCAGTGGATAACACAGGGTGTTTATGGGAGTCTATGGATAGGAGGATGGTCTCCAATCTAAGGCAGGCTTCCCCAAACTCAGACCCTCGAGATGTTACTGAACTACAACTCCCATGATTCTCAGCCTATCTATTTATTTCATAGAATCGTTGGAGTTCAGCAACATCTGGAGGGCCGGAGTTTGGGGAAGCCTAAACTAAGGCTTATCTTGCATCTGGATCTGGGATCCGTCCAGCTGTGGCTATGACTTCAGTGTCGAGAGCTTTGAAACTGTGGTTATATGACCTGGAGGAGGATATCTCAAATGAAGTCAGTAGAACCAGGCTTCTGGATTCCCTGAACAAATTCAGGCTCGTTATTGATTTTTCTTCAGATGCTTCTATAGATCTGGTTAGATCATCTCGAGAAGCATGGCCTTATCCATAGCGTTTAGACAAGCTCTTTGGCTGAGAAATTTGATGGTGCATACCTCATTAAAAATAGCTTATGTGCCCTTCCATTTCAGGGGGATATGCTTTTTGGGAAACATCTTGATGAGTGCATCAAAAGGGCAGTGGAAGGAAGT